AAGGGACATTTCACGTTTAAAACAACCCGTGGATATTAAAAAAATTAGGGAGAGAAAAGAAATGTCCTTAATTTATTAAGTTATGTGAATTTTTATCTTAAACATTCAATTAATGTCGTAATTTTTACCTTCAACTCAAAAAAGTGTTGCAATTCTTTAATTCTAATAAAATTCTATTTGAAGAATTATAAAAAATAAAAAATAAAAAAATAGTATTTGTATGGATGTTAACCTTCAATGAATTAGAAAATATATCTTGCAACTAAATGAAATTTCAGAGAAAAACAATTTTTTAGAAAAAAAATTGTGAATCTTGTTAAAGTTAATATAATATTGGATTTTGTGCATTGGTCTGATTTAATTTGGTGAAAAACTTGATTTTCATTCAAATTAATGAGATTTAGAAGATTTATACATTGTTTTTTCTTTTTTGTTAAACTTAGTGGGCGAATGAGTAGAAATTAAGCGAAAGGTAAAATTTGCAACCTTTTATCTATGTCAAGGTCCAATTAGATGACATAGAAACCATTCATGGTGGAAATTGATAAATTTTATTAAGTTTASGGTAAATTTTGATTCTTTTATTTTTATAATAAAATTTTATCTTGAATTGTATCCCATGTTTGATTGGCATCAGAGTTGAATATTTAGTTGTAATGAGTTACAAAGTGATTTAAAAAAATGGAAATTATCGTGGTAGAAATTAAATTAGAATAGCATAGCGAGAAAAATAGTCCACTTAAAAAGTCAAGATTTTTTTAATATTATAAAAAATATAATTAATTTTTAAAATATAACCTAAACAATTTTTTAAAATATTTTATTTTAATTACTTCATTCCCTTATCAAACACACTTGGGAGTCAGTTTCTTGAGGRGACGACCTAGTCCAACGCCCTAGAGTGTCGTCTCAAAATAATATGTTGGATATTTTTTTTAATTTTTTTTTAAATATGGAGATAATGTCTTGGACAAARTTTTAAAATAATCTAATTTTAAAAATAAATTATAAAAATAATGTTAGTTTAAAAAAAATAATAAATTAAATGTAATTTAAATAAATAAATTCAAAAGTAGGATAGATTTTCAAAACTATTGACAAAAATAGGGTAGGTCGAAGTGCGAGTCAAAACTCGCCTACAATGCCTGCGATTTCCATGCAAACGTATATATTTGACGTTGCAGTTTACTAAGTAGAAGTACGCGACTTCAACATTTTTTATTTCTTTAATTTTATTTATTGTTCAATTTTTTATATTGTTATGTTATTATTATTGCTAAATTTAATTAAGACGTGATTAAATTTTTTATTCTTTGTTATTATATTTTAAATTTTGATTAAAATRTCATTTAAAAAGTTTGAAAGTTTAAAATTAGATTAAAACCAATTCGATGATTAAAATGTCATTCTCTTGTGCTTSATGTTGATACGTTCTATAAAATAACATTTAAATTTAATATAAACTAAATCAATAAAAAATTATTAAATTAATAAAACATAAAAGTCAAGGTATAATCATATGAATATACATAATAATTTTTTAGAACAAATATATAATTTTTCTATCATGGTACAAAGTCAATAACATATCTATTTAAATATTCCCCAATTTAGTTTTTTCATAAATTATGGTTTTTTAAAATAAAATTTTAAATTTAAAAAAAAACAAAGTGGGAAGTCTTTTTTCTTAAATTCTGGTTTTTTTAAATAAAATTCAAAATAAGAAAAAAAAACAAAATTGGCAAGTCTTTTCTTTAAAATAAAATTAAAATTAAAAAAAAAATTGAATGGCTGCGACTTTAGTGAAAATGCGGTCAATGACCGTGATTTCGTCCTTAATCGTAGGTGATGGTTGCGATTTATCTTGAAATTGCAGCCCACTGCGACTTTATTAAAATGACAACAATTGATTTAGGTACCCTATCTTTAGAATTAGTTTGAAACTTACCTTACTTTTGTCATTTGTTTTTAAAAAATAATTATTTAAAAAGAAAATCCTGATATTTCTTCCCTTTTCTTTTCAAATATTTTTTTAAAAGGGACTTTTCTTAGATATATTGTTTAAAATTTTAATTAWTCAAATACAATCATTCAAAATAAATTTATTCACTTTCTATTTTTTTTATAAATAAAATTTTTAATTCATTATGAGACTCTTTTTAAATGTGTCATTTTCTGGCTTATCACTATACTCTTTAGTTTTGGAGGAAGCTCTATGCATGCGCACGATCTCAAATGTACTTTAGTATATATGGCATCTTTGTTTATGACTACTCTATACGTTGTTACCATTAGATGTGAGTATAGATTTAGTAATGTGTTTTTTTGGTCTACTATGATCTTGTGCCAATTGTTACTATGAGAACATTTTTTTTATGTAAGTCTTGAAGTTTCTTAGTTATAAAGGTATATTAATGTTGAACGAAGCTATGATTTATAATTTAACATGTTGTACGTCTTTCTCRACTAAATATTTATTGATTTTGTCAGCGCATTGTTTATTCGTTGTTTTCCTACCGAGTAGTACTTGAGTTTCAAACGAACTAGCATCATTGTTAGCCACAACTAGCTTCTCTAAATATTGCATCTGATCATTTGTATGCCAATATMGTTTGACTATACTATCGTAAATTCGTTATAACTATATGGCTAGGACGACACTTTATTTTGGGATTTTATAAAGACTAGTAGTCTTGCTTTACAGGTAGAACTTGAAGTAGGGCATTTTCACGTTGTCTTTTATTACTTCAAGGCCACAGCATCAATCGAGATAATTGTTATCACTTTTATATACTATACCTCTGGCTAATATAGAATTTTGTTTGCACTACTAATTATAAATCTATAAATTTGTAAATTTGTAGTTTGTAAATTTGTAGTGCTATAAATATATCTAGATAAGAGGAGCCAATAGGTCATCTGCACRATGATTTTTCAAGTTTTGTATGTAATATGTATCTAGTTGCTATAATCTCTTTTAATCCCTATCGATTCTTTTTTTGGACATTGCAATTTCATAATTGACAGATAATCAAAGTTTTAAATATCGATATTGATGGAAATGTCGAGGTCTCAATTTCATGGAAATATCGATAAAATGTCGATGTCGATGRATATTTCTGTAAAAGTTATAGATTAAAAAATCGTAAAAAATATTTAAATTAACAAATAAACATTTTTCATATTTCTAAAWAAATTAAAAAATAACAAATATTGATATGATGTATATACTAGTGACATTCTGTTGATAGTTTTATATTTTGTCGATTTTTGTTACTATGATGGAAATGTTGTTGATGTCGAATTTATGAAAACGTAGACATGTCGATGGAAATGTCGACGTGTCGATAGATATCTAGAACCATTCAGGTAATAAAATGTAAAGCTAATATTTTATAGTTTGGAGGAGTAAGCATGTGCTTGCAAATTATTCAAAAAATAAAATAAAAATAAAATAAAAATAAAAAAGCATTGACTTGTAATTGCATGATAACCATTTAAATAAGGAAGTGATGGAGATGTGCACTCTTCTACTTTTCGTGGGGTCGGCGGAATTTACTCTTTAATACTATTAAATCTTTAATACTATTAAATATTTGATCGCTCATTATTTTTAAATTTTTTCTTTTTCTTTATATACTTTAAACGGACATTAATGAATGATTCACATGGTTAASTATTAATGGATTGTTTGTTTGGGATGCAAAACACTTAACAAACATTTTGGTAAGAGAAAAGTTAAGAACCCTTTTTATTTTCTGGACTTTTATTCAACTAATGATTTAGTCGTTGAAYTTTAGCTTGTAACTATTTACATAAAATTTCCTATTATTATTTTAGAGTTTGTACAATCTCTAATATTTATCATTATCATCTAATATTTCCATTGAATGACGATAGTTTGTTGATCTTGATTGTTCTCTTGGCGGCTTTGCGATCTTGATCGGCCTTTTGATAGCTTGGAGATCTTGATCGGCCTGTTGGTGACTTGTGGATCTTGTGAACCCTTTATTTATATGGTTTTTCATCGGCCTTAGATGGACTTGAGATTCCAAGTACATTGTCATGTGGAACAATCCAATTGGGTAGGTTTATATCATCAAACAGACGAAGCGAATTTTGATTGAACCTACGCTCTTGTAGCATGCCTCCTTCGGGCACAATTTAATGACATATAATTTTGTCATTATTATGTGCAATTTGTGATTTGTCAAAATTTACCAGTCAAATAACAATTTAGCCTAYATACTTTTGAATTATAACAATTTAATTTTTGAACTTTATTATGTAATTTAAAATTTGTAAAGATTTAACCCCTAMCATAAAAGTTTTTGTTWAGTTTTTTTATATGTAGATCTGATTTACGAGGAACCAAATATGTTTATAAATTACAAAGATTGAATAGTTATATGATAAAAATCAACACTTAATTTTGATGATTTTTTTTTATATTTAATACCATGCTTGCGAGTAGGGGTGTCGTTCAAAAAATCCAACGAACCCAACCCAACCGGTTCGGGTTGGATTGCGAAATTTCCAACCCGACCAGGTCACGTCGRGTCTCGAGTTCGACCTTAAAAATTTCGGGTCAACCCGACCGGACCCGATGATACCTTTATATATATTATATATTTTTTTTTTGTTAAATTATAAATTGCCAAGAGAGGAGACATTATTGGAGGGAAGGGAACTGCATTTGAATATTTTAAACTTGGAAGATTTTGGGATTGGGAGGCTATCCCACATCGGTTAAATTGGTGGAAAGAAGATGTTAGATTCCTATAAATACCTTTTCTTTTTTGAACATTTCTTGACAACACATCAACTCGCTTTTATTGAAGTTGGATGTACAAATTTGCAACGCTTATGTTCAAGATTCAGTTAGAAAACATTAAAAGCGTACATAGTGAACATTTATAAATTTTATCATTTTAATTTTATTTTTTCAAAATATTATAAAAGTTATTTTTATATTCTATTAAAAGAATAAAGGGCGAATATAAAGAAATTTGAAAGATGATGATAATCTAGTTTCACAGGATTTGCCCTCTACCTTCTGCAATCCAATTGAATTGGCTGGCAGATTTTGTCCTTGGCCCTGTAAAGTACACGTTGGATTTTTCTACACACCAGTCACGGTAGCTGGCAGATATCTCTTTCTTGTTAGATGTAGAGCCGATGGATAGGAATGACCATAAGTTCTTCTGCTCTGGGACAAGTTATACCAAACTCTTCTATCATATTTAGTTCGATAGGTAACATATCATTTGGAAGCTTCCAGTCAAAACAATGTACAAGTTGAGCTAGCACTAGTCGAATTATAACTAATCCCAATTGCATTCCAGGACAACTTCTTCGACCAACTCCAAATGGAATTAGTTGAAAATCTCTTCCTTTAACATCTACTGAATTACTGATAAATCTTTCTGGAACAAATTTTTCTGGGTCAGTCCATACATTTGGATCTTGTCCAATTGCCCAAGCATTCACTAATATGAGTGATTTATTGGGGATATAAAAATCATCAACTGTACAATCTTCAATAGACTCGTGTGGAATTAATAGTGGAGCGGGTGGATGCAGTCTTAAAATCTCTTTAACAATCATATCTAAATAGTTCAAGTGACTCAAGTCCGACTCTTCCACCATTCTTTCCAAACCTACAACTTTTTCTAATTGAACCTGTAATTTCTTCATTGCACATGGATGCTTGATGAGCTCGGCTAGTGCCCATTCAATTGTGGTGGCTGCAGTATCTATTCCCGCAGCAAGCAAATCCTAAAAAGATTCAATAATTATAAAAAAACATCAAAACATGAACCTTTTATATATGCATGCATCCTTTTACCTTCTCTTTAGCGTCAAGAAAGTTGATGAAATGATTTTAAATTCTGTAATTTGAAATGCGAGAAATGATTTTAAATTCTTTATCTTGTTTCGAACCAGAATGATTTGAAACGAATTAAATTAGATTTCTTTGTTTCAATGTTCACTGGAAATTAAAAGAAAATAGAAATTGTACTGATTTAGGCTTTTATTCTAAATTTATTAATTAAAAATTAAAATATGACGAGGTTAAATAAGTAATTTACTTCGAAAGTCTATCAAATCATGCAAAATTCAACCATTTTGATCTGGAAATTTTTTTAAGTACAAATAGGATTTGAAATCTTCATTCAAAATCATGTCGTACCAAATAGTGGAATTCATTTAAAATCCATCATGATTTTGAATTCCTTCAAAATCCGAGGCACCGAACAGAGCATTAGTTCTAAAACGAGGAAAAATCACAATTGATTGGCGGCATAGTCCGCTCGTGGCTGGATGGAGATACCCTCTCCGTCCTCTTAAAAAAAACATTTTAAATTTTCATCTAAATTTCTACGATAAAACAAAGAAATTTTAATTATTTTTTTATCTTGATTTTCAAAACTTGACTTAGATTTTTAAAAGTATTTTAAAAAATATTCAATCGAGAGATCAAGAGTTTCAATCTCACCTGGCCATGTTGTACTAAAAATACCATATTTTATGTATTGATAGAAAAAACTAAATTGGCCAAACCGAACATAGCTCAAGTGGTTAAGACATCTATCTCTTGAGAGGTCATGAATTCAAACTCCTGACCCCGGCTGTATTAAAAAAAAAAAAAAGATAGAAAAAACTAAATTTATAGTTTACTTACCAGAACTATTGCTTTGATGTTAGATGGATCAATCTGATAATCCACTTCTTGGGAGCCCATGAGTTCCAACATAACATCCACGAAATCCTTATTTTTACCTTCATTCTTGGACCCAATATGTTCCTCAACAATCTTCTCTAAGAACTCATCATACTCCTTACCAACAAATTTTGCCCGACGATTCAGCCCTTGAAGATCAAACGCCGCAATTAAAGGAATATAATCCGCCAAATTAGGAGCTGCGCCCAATTTCATGGACTCTTTTATCACAGCCTTGAATCCCCTCTCACCAAACTCTTCATCTGTATATTTCTTCCCAAACACCATCAAACAAGTCATGTCTGCGATGAGAGACGACACTTTAGAACTCAAATTCACTTCAACATGAGCTTTTGAAGCCTCTCGAAGACACTCAATCAGCAAGCCAAGCTCCTCTTTTCTCATTGATTTGAAAGAGTTGATTTTTTGGGAGCTAAGCAATTCGAGAGTGCACAATTTGCGCATGTTTCGCCAATAAGAACCATATGGAGCAAATACCAAATCCTTTTGACCATAGGACATGATACTGGAAGTATGAATTAGTGGCCTACTCGAGAAAACAAGGTCGTGGGTTTTGAGGAAGAGCTCGGCGGCGGCGGGGGAGGACACGACAATGGTGGGCACAAGGCCTAGTTTCATGTGCATTATGGGACCATATTTTTGGGATAAACGATGGAGATTTCTATGTGGGAGTTTGCCTAACAGATGAAGGCTACCAAGAATGGGGAACCCTTTTGGACCAGGAGGCAATTTCTTGCCTTTGTTATGGCTTTTGAAGAGCCGTGAGTGTAAGAGAAGAGCAAGAACAAGAATTGCAATAGTGACGACCCAAATCCAAGCCATTTGGGAGATGTAATCGAAGAATGCGATATGTTGAGATGCCTTTGTATAGGATAAGATCAGCCCGTGAAATGAAGTGGGAATTATGTATTATATATGGATGAGAAAGAGTTGGCTGAGCTAGCCTGTTGGAGATCTATGTGGTTTCAAATTAGGGCTCGGTTGATGATGTAGAAATGACAGTGAAGTGTGTTGGAAAATTTAATTGCCCAAAACCTCTATATATAACGTTAATTTTGTTTCACATGTTTGACACTGTTGTCCTAATTAAAGTTGCTTTTTTTTTTTGTTTTTTTTCTGAATTATTATGGAGCGTGGCAGAAAGGTTTGTGGTTATAGATGGAGATTGGAAAGGGATGGCCAAATATTGATGTAAAAATCTCCTGTTTCTACGGCGAGAATAAATGAGAAATTTAAAGAAAACAACACAATAAATAAAACACAAGAATTATGCGGAAAACTCCAAATCGAAGGAAAAACTACGATCCACAAAGGAAAATCAACTATTATGTCAATTACACATATTTTACTCATCGACCTTAATTACATAAAACACTATCCTAAAATTAGTACCGTTCAATAAACTAGAGTTAATATACTAGATTTTTAATTGGGATGAATAAAACTCAAAGTTATGGTTTATAGTACTTGGAGCATGCTCTCTTTCAATATCTTTCCGATGTAGGTCAAACTTCAATTGTAATATATATTTTACTAAAATCCAATAATAATATGAGTTGTTCTAATATTTTTGTATCATATTTTAACAAAGTAGTCCACAATCACACCGAGGTGAAGTAACATTTCTAATCCTTATATGTTTTACTTACGTTTTTGTTGATGGCGAATTTCGGAGAGGTCTATGTGTCCCTTGGACTAGCATTTGCGCCAAGGAGCAAATAAGCCTGCAACCAAAAAACTCGACATCGTTGTAGTGTCCCGCCTAATACATTCCGACGCTCAAGTCAGTAATCAAAGTAATAAAAATAGGGGTGAACACCTTAAGGTTTTAGTGACACGTTTTACACTTACTTGGTGTTTGTAGAAGTCCTTACATGTTTTCCTCAAAATAAGAAAAATTAAAAAAAAAAAAAAAAAGTCCTCCCCTTTTATAGGCATGGATGACCGACCAGGAAGAATGACGGTTGAGATGGCAGGGGTGTGTTGAGTTGCTCCTGACGATGGAGTGTACGCCACTGATAAATAGTGGGTGGTGTCTCCATTTGCAGGTCTGCAACTTGCAGCCTGCGAGTAGCAGGTTGCAGTCTTCAACATCCTCTTCATACAAAAGTGGTAGCAACTCAACCGCATGCTAGCATAGTGTACGATGTAACCGTTTGTGGTACCGCACCTTGCTGTAGCTCCCAAAATCCAACGCGTGTTCTGTTCGGATTTACCCTCAAAATTTTTAATTCATTTACTAGTAAAAATTTTATTGGTATCCCGATGTCTCGATTAAAATGTAGCCAAATGTCCAAATTAAATTAAAGAAAAGTACAATGAAATTAAAAAAAAAGGGAAAATTATATACAAACTCAGCAGTTCTCTCTCTCCTCTTGCCCACCAAACCGGTCATATCACAATTAATTAAGGAAAATACTTCCTCCTCACTTAACAATCTTATCCTTACCACCATTAAATATTTCACAACTATCATTTTTTTTTTAATCTTTATATTTTTTTCATTTCTCCCTCTTAGTTGTTAAATATTTAATGATGGTAAACACAAAATTGCTCATTAGTCAAGTATTTTCCATTAATTAATTGTGAGAAATTTTCTAGGCAAAGAGTGCACATGTGGCCAACTTCAATTGGCTGCTCAGCTTTAACTTTAAAGTTCTCTTCTATTGGGCAACTTCACGTGGTCATATCGATTTTCTTATTATATTAGGTCTGATTATTTCCTCCAATGGCGCGCTGAAGCGTGTCTACCAATTATTACTTTTTCCTTCCTTTCCTTCTCATGCGGTTTTCCCAATTTTCTCCCAACTTTTTTTCCCTTCATTTCCGAGCGAAGAAAAATCAGTATACTCGGTAGACACGTGGCGCAGTGTTGGCGCCACGTCGTTTTTCTACAAAAGTGGCAAAAAAAAAAACAATGAAACTATTTAGACACCCTAAAAATGCCTTTTAATGCGGTTTTTATGAGAAAATTGGAGAAGAACCAGAGAGCTTTGGCATTTATTTCCCACAACTTATAGGCATTTTCTTTAGTTTGTAATTTTTATTTTTCATAGCTAATTGAGTACTTTAATTTGTAATTTTTTTTTCCAAATTTGTAAAGCTTAAATTTGTTGATCAACTTTTTGAGAGTTAATTTATAACTTTGTTCTTAAATTATAAATTTATAATAAGGATGGTTTTGAATTTCAAAAAGAACCCTTCGTAACGGTTTAATTTTAAGCCGTCAAATTTATTTTTATTACTGAAAAGAGAATGCTTTGTAATGATTGAACTCTAAGTTGTAAGAAGAGTCGAAATTTTTAGTCGAATGCCCGAGTTTTGGAGGGTAGAGTAAGCTGAGTTTTATCAAACCTCTATAATTTTTTTTAGAATAATCTTTAATTTTTTTTTTTTTTGAATATGAGAATAATCTTTACTTTGTTTAGTTTGAGATAAAATTAACTGTCTATAAAAATGTGCATTAATTTGATTAATTGGATCATCTTTAATAAAGGTTCATAAAATTTAATAAAAGCATATTCACCCTCTAGTCTAGGATTGCTACAAACCGATCCAATTGCTCTAGGATTTTGCTATAACGAGTAGTTATTAATTGGATTTTATTTTCCTTCTTTTTCATGGAAATAGAAATGCCACGTATCCACTCTCTTTCTTCATTTCTTTTACATTTTGGTTGATTTATAATACATTTTTTAGATTTCTTTAAAGTTCAGCAAACAAAGAGACTGGATCTGAATATTACTATTTAAATCATTGGTTTTAGATACTAAATAAATAATAAATTACATACTATGAATCAAATTCTCACAGATAATTACAAAAGAGAAATTTTACTAGCTCTATAACACAAATTTAATATATATTTTTTTAAAATGTCACAACTTATTATTAATTTTATTTAATAGAGTATGTTATTATTGTAAAATTTTAAACTTTTATTATAATTAAAAATACATATTTTATTTATGTTCCTAATACAAACTTTTTTGATGAATTCTCACTGGACAATGACATACACAGCTCTTTCACAATTCATGAATAAATATACTAATGACAAAGACGAGAAGTAGGAATAACCATAAGATCTTGAGCCCTAGGACAAGTTAAACCAAACTCTTCAGTCATATCCAATTCAGATGGCAACATGCCATTTGGAAGTTTCCAATCAAAACAGTGCACAAGTTGAGCCAACACCAATTGAACCAAAATTAGCCCCAATTGCATTCCGGGACAACCTCTTCGACCAGATCCAAATGGAAGTAATTGAAAATCTCTTCCCTCCACATCTACTTGGCTATCAAAGAATCTTTCTGGAAAGAACTTTTCAGGTTCCATCCAAATACTTTGGTCTCGTCCAATTGCCCATACATTGATTATTATGCGTGACCTTTTAGGAATATAAAAATCACTAACAATACAATCTTCGAGAGACTCGTGTGGTAGCAATAAGGGGGCAGGCGGGTATAGCCTAAAAACCTCTTTAACAACCATTTTCAAATAGTCTAAACTTTCCAAATCTGATTCTTCCACCATCCTATCTAAACCAACTACCTTTTCTAGTTCGTCTTGCATTTTCTTCATTACATCAGAATGCTTAATAAGTTCTGACATTGCCCATCCAATCACAGTTGCTGAAGTGTCCATGGCTGCAGTTAGCATATCCTGTACAAAGATTCAAAGATATATGAAACTGTTAATAATGAAACTGTTAAATTTTCAAAAATGTTTAACAAACTACTTGTGTTTCCATTTTCCCCAAACTAATCAATACAATAAAAATAATAATGATATGAACGGAAAAATGACATTTACGAAGGAGAGAGAGTAATATAGAGGTTCGAACACAGGACTTCCCGTTGGATGAATAAACTACCACTCAATCCAAAAGTTTAACACACAAGTTTGAATTTTTATGGTTGTATATAATAAATTGTCCTTTGTCAAATAGGTCACGAAATATGAACTTTTAATTTTGTGTCTAATAAGATATATGAACTTTTACCTGTCATAAACCAAATTTAAATTCAAAATTGAAAATTTACAAATTTATTAGACACTTTAAAATATTCAAAAATCTATTAGACAAAGTCTCCAGAGTAGAAGCGGACCATTCTAAAAGTTGAGGGCTAGAATATATGTAAAGAAAATGAAATAGTTTAGATGGCTTTCGAGTCTAGTTCTAAATTCATACCAGCATTATAGCTTTGATTGCAGGCCGATCAATCTGATACTCAGTTTCTTGGAAGCTCATAACGTCCAACATAACATCCACAAAATCTTTAGTCTTCTCCTCATCCTTGGACTCAAGATGATCATTAACAATCCTCTCAAGGAAGTCATCCAACGCCTTGTGGACAGATTTCATTTGCTTGTTGAGTCTCTGAAGATCAAGCCCTGCAATAAAAGGAAAGAAATCCCCCAAATTAGGTGTGGCCGCCAATTGGGAACCTTCTTGTACCACAGCCTTGAAACCCCTCTCATCAAAGTCTTTGTCCTCATATTTCATCCCAAACACCATCAAACACGTCATGTCAGTAGTGAGGGACGTGACTTTGGAGCTAAGGTTCACCGCAACTCCATTATCCGCAGCCTCTCGAAGATGATCAATCAACAGCGCCAGCTCCCTCTTTCTCATGGACTTGAAAGAGTTGATTTTGCGGCTGCTGAGCAGTTCAAGTGTGCACATTTTACGCATGTTGCGCCAGTAAGAGCCATATGGGGCAAAAACCAGATTCTTTTGGCAGTAATTCATTTGCTTTGAGGCTTCTGAGAGTGGCCTGCTGGCGAATACGAGGTCGTGGGTTTTGAGGAACAGCTCGGCGGCGGAAGGGGAAGAGACTATGATGGTGGGTACGAGGCCTAGTTTCATGTGCATTATGGGGCCGTATTTTTGGGACAATTTTTGAAGATCTCTGTGAGGGAGCTTTCCTAGCAAATGTAGGCTGCCAAAAATGGAAAACCCTTTTGGACCGGGAGGTAAGTTTTTGGGTTTGAAGAGCCATGGCTTGAAAAGAAGAGCAAGAGCAAGAAGTAGTGGGGAAATGGCCCAAATCCAAGCCATTGTAGAGAACAAGGACACAGAAAATTAAATGATATGAAGCAGAAGAGGGGGAGATTTTGCAGAATTTCAGCTTCGGGGGATTGGTGTGTTATAATGGAAGAAGATAAAGATGAAGTGTGAGTTTGATTCATATTTGTCAATAATTGATGGTATGCTTTTCACAAAAAAAAAAGGCAAATTTGATGGTATGTCCACTTTTCGTCATGTCCTACCATTTGCTTCCTCTTTCTTTTCCTATGCTTTGATAGAGCAACCATGAAGTTTGTGTTGGGAAAAATGGAGACAAAATATCAATTAATTGAAGGTTGGTTATTGGGCAACCATTTGGGCCCAAATCAATTTTTCTTCTTCATTAAGCATTTGCCACCATTATATATGTTTCTTTTGTTTTATGGTCTTCACCCCGTGAGATTAACACAGAAGCAAAATAGGGTGAGCGGCAGCCATTTTTACGGGTGGAGAGAAGAGAGAAAAGTGAGATATTGTACTGTGGAGCATCGTCGGCAGTCCGTTGTCAATCCTAAATAGTTATTGTTGTAGTGCTTAGAAGTTAGGTGGCTATTAGTTCAGCATCTAGACAGTGTTTTAGACGAAGAAAGGTCATTGTAATATTCCCATTATAGTAGAACCTGCATATTGCAGAAGACTGGACGTAGTTCCGAGCTTGGAGTGAACCAGTATATTTTCTGGTGTTTATTTTTCATCTCTATCTCGTATTTCCTTTATTGACTGTGACTTGCTCATGAAAGGGAAAAATATACCGTTGGATTGCTCTTACTTAAGAACTAGAGATATTTTATTGTTACTGCATATATATATTCCCCTTAACATTTTTCCCCAACAGTTAGACTGGATTAAAAGACTTTTTCATATTCTTCTTCTTCCCTTTATTTATTTATTTTTTTATAACTCCAACTCTCCAAGATATACATGTTTCAAATTTATCCACATCAACATAATTCAACTCCTTTCTAAAGATAAGGGTAAAAAAAAACAAACTTTCAAAGGTGGTAAGTTCAAATCTTTTATCCTTGGTGAACCGAAAAAAAAAAAATTTTTGACCTTTCTCCCTAAAACTCTCCAATATTTTCATTGTATTTTAATTAATAAGGATAAAACTTGACTCCTCAGTGAGCAATCTTGTCGTTACCACCATTAAATATTTAACAACTCATTACATTTTAAAATAAAGTGTTGTTTTTTTCATTTCTCTCTGTTAGTTGTCAAATATTTAATGGTGGTAAGGACAAAGTTGCTCATTACTAGTGAGGAGCCAAGTTTTATCCTTTTAATAATTAATTCATAAACTTAATAGACAAGACACTAATGCTAGAGCCATTTATTTGATACTCTATTTCTCTAGATCTCATCAAATAATCCAACATAACATCCAGGAAATCCTTAGTTTTACTTTGATGGTTGACTCAACATGTTCCTCAATGATCCTCTCTAAGGACCCATCAAATGCCTTACTATCACATTTGGCAGGACGTCACAATCATTGAACATGAAGCACAGCAAAAGAAGGAATATAAAATAATCTCCCAAATTAGGAACGGCTGCCACTTCCATTGCCTGTTGCGTATAACAGCCCTAAACCCTTCTCATCCAACTCTTTGTCCGTATATTTCCTCACAAACATCATTATTAAACAAATCATATCCACAGCAAGAGACCCACATTTTTTAACAGATTCAACAATCAGCGGTTCAACCAAAATTTATGTCACCCAAAGTAAAAGGTAAACCAAGGATGTTAAAGATGAATAAATCACCACTCAACCCGAAAGCTTAAACTTATGGGTTGAGTAAATTTAATCCATTTATAAGTATCTCAACAAGAGATACACTACTATCCAACTCTCTTCGTCATCAGAGAAGATAAACCCTAGAGACGAAGAAAAAAGGCCTGGTACCTCAAGTATCAGTTATCACTTGTTAAGGACAAGTGTACCCCAAGTACCTTAGTTTTAATTTTGGTTTCACCCAAAATGTCTCATACCAATAAAGATACTTGTCTTTCTTATATAACATGGATCACCCATTTCCCTAACCAATATGCGACTTTGTTTGCACTCCTGCCAGCTCGATAGTTTTTGTTTTGGTTTGTGAAGAGGCATGAGTGTGAGACAAGAGCAAAACCACCCAGCGCTGGAACAGTGACCCATATCCAAGCCATCACTATTTTAGACTTGGATTTGAAATGGGTATAGATAATTTATCCCACATAAACATTAGCCATTAAATTACAAGTTTGATGTCGCCTAGAAACTCTAAATTGATGTCTTTTAGGCCTTTAAATTTTAAAATATATTAGATAAGTTCAAGAACCTAATACTTTCTACCATTTAGAAGTTGATTAGATACTTGTTAAAATTTAAAGATTTATTAGATATAATTTTCAATGTTTAGATACCAAACTTATATACCTTGGTGGAATGAACATGTGTAATCAAAGGTCTTATTTTGTTATCCAGGATTTGAACACTAAGAATAGTTTATTCTCAAACATCCGGAATGCCTATTGATAACGGTTCTATACCCCTACTTTGAACACATTCTCATCCATGGGTTTCATCATTTTAACGATATTCAAGGTGTAATCATTGAATATATATGTTTTATATATATATATATATATTTTCTTCCTCATTCTAATTTAATAAATTTGGAACCCACAATTATTTCAGTATTTTTCTAAACTAAAATATTTATTTGTACTTTCAAGTTTCAATATATATGCTCTAATTAATTATTCATTAGTAAATTAATTTGTACTAGTAAATGAAAATCTAATAAGAAGTAAGAATGAATATATTATTATTGATTAAACCATATCAAATTACTCGGTTAATGTAAAAATGTAAGATCTTTTGAATAATTTGAATGCTTTATAATTGCATAAAATTGTTGGAAGTAAATCAACGAACCAAACACAAATATCCCTTAAAGTTTGTGGTTGTAGATAAAAGATGGAGATGAGTGGACAAGAAAGTACAACACGTTTAACACGAGGTTGTTGTCATAATTTCTATATCTTTAATGGAGCCCACACAAAAGTGGCCAACAACATATCTTGAATATTTTACGCAAAAAACTTCCCTCTTAGGATTCAGGAGGAAGTTGCCTGTATGCTATTAGACCATATAAGAAATCAGGAGTAGTTTTCTCCTGGATAATCAGGAGGGAAGTTTTTTCCATAAAATAAGGGTTGAATCATTAACCCAACTCATCAAAGCAATAAGAAATTAAGGGTTGAATAATAGAAAATGGTGGATTTAATCCGACTCGAGTCACATGGAATATTCAAAAATGGTTGTTAATAAGATTTTAAGGCTGCATCCACTCGCTCAATTGTTAATTCCGCAAGATTTTACTATCTAGGACTTCTATATTCCCAATAAATTACACATACTAATAAATTAGGTTAGATATTTTATAAATGATTAAATTCACAATCTATGAATTTAAGTTTTTTGGTTCATTGGTGGTTTAATATTGCAAGTAAGAGGCTTAGAAATTTATGTTGCCTCTCTCGTAACAGAGAGATTGATGATGTCTCTCTCATCTCAGCCAGAATCTTGAGGTAGATTTACCACAGGCTTCCGAGATTGAGCACTCCATAAGGAAATTTAAATTATTAGATTTATAATTTTACTCATGAAAAGTGTGTTTTTAATAAATTTTGAGAGGTGGATTTAGAGTGCCACATGGTACGGAGAAACACTAAAACTCGCATTACAGTTAAAAAGAGAGTGTTGAGTGCACCAGACAACCTCTGAGTGCACTGAATGAGAAGTGTCAAGCACACCGTAAGAACATACGAGTACGGTTAATGAACCTAACACTCGAGATTGCAATATGTCTGCCAATGAAGCTTGAGTCAAAAGACAATGGCGTACGTGGTACCTATATATAGTATTTGTCCAAAAATCGAAATCAACAATACTAATAAAAATATCTCTTTAAATTTCTCGATTCCAAAATCTATTATTTTTTTAATTATTTTTTTTTTTGCAACTTGAGATATGGCAAAAAAAAGTTAGGAAAATAAGCAAAATAACAACAAGGTTTGAGTTTTTCAAATATAGCATTTTTTTTTGCAAAAATAATAAAGGTCCACGTTCTAAATTACAAGTATACCCTGCAGACCCGAACCAACAATAAATTACTTTTGATATACTAATGATTGATAGATATACTCCTACTATATATGTGATATATGTTTGATATACATATGGTATGAAATTGATTTACTTCTGATATAACTATGATATATACTACTACGTGATATAGAACTGATTGACTTCTGATATACTATTGATTTACCTATGATATAACTATGATTGACAGATATATTCCTAATATATGTTTGATATACATATAATATGAAATTGATTTACTTCTGATATAACTATAAAGAATTGAGCCAATATTCTGAGAATGTAAAAATATTATTTCTTAAAAAACAAAGAAGGCTCAAGCCCCTGCTTTATCTGTGCACAAAAGAAATATGAAGAAAAAGAGAGAGAAGAAAGTTGTTCCCGAGAGCCATTAATGAAAGGATTTCCTGGGAATTAATTTTAATGACTAACGGCTATAAAGACAAACTTTTCTTATGGGAAGATGAAAGGACAGTAAAATGGGCCTTTACTGATTTGCATTGAAGGTTGAGATATTTTCCCAGAGATAGATGAAGATTACCGTTGGTGGATCTTTAAAGGCTTGGTCAAATGATTTTGTTATTCGTGCTTTATGTCTTCAACTTGGTCTTGAGCTTTAATAATAACTATGATATCTACCACTATAGATGATATAGAAGTGATTAACTTCTGATATACTATTGATTTACTTATGATATAACTATGATTGACATATATACTCCTCATATATGTGATATATTTTTGATATACATATGATATGAAATTGATTTACTTTTGATATAACTATGATATCTACTAATATAGGTGATATAGAATTGATTGACTTTTGATAAACTATTGATTTATTTATGATATAATTATGATTGACAGATATACTCCTGATATATGTGTGATATATGTTTTATATACATATGATATGAAATTGATTTACTTTTGATATAACTATCATATATACTACTATAGATGATATAGAACCGACTGACTTTTAATATACTATTGATTTACTTATGATATAACTATGATTGACAGGTATACTCCTGATATATATGTGATATATGTTTCATATACATCTAATATGAAATTGATTTACTTCTGATATAATTATGATATATACTACTAGGTGATATAGAATTGATTGACTTTTGATATAACTATGATTGATAGATATATTCCTGATATATGTTTGATATACATATGATATGAAATTGATTTACTTCTGATATAACTATGATATCTACCACTATAGATGATATAGAACTGATTGACTTCTGATATACTATTGATTTATTTATGATATAACTATGATTGACAGATATACTTCTGATATATATGTGATATATGTTTGATATACATGTGATATAAAATTGATTTACTTCTGATATAACTATGATATCTACTACTATAGGTGATATATATCTAATTGACTTCTGATATACTATTGATTTACTTCTGATATAACTATGATTGACAGATATACTCTTGATATATATGTGAGATATAGGTTTGATATACATATGATATGAAATTGATTTACTTATGATATATCTATGATATCTACCCATTATTTCAAACATATTACATCTAATATGTTTTCTAATATACTACTAATATATGAAATAATTTTTTTTTCAGATAAAAGCAATGGTACAAACACGAAAAATGAAATAAAAAAACATCGATGTCGTTCTTCTCAAAAGACAACATAAACCAACGCAAAAGTGTTGTCTATGGAAAAACGGAAAGCTTCAAAGATATTATCTCCGAAGACACGACAATCATCAAAAACGAAGATTGATGTCCAAAGCTTTTACCTAAAGATTATACAAGAATGAAACTTACGCTTTCCTAGATTGTTGGAACTTATGCTTCTTCTTTATAGAATTTTAAGAATGACATTGGTTAGTCTACTTTTGGTTTATGCAACTGGTTTGTTTTGATGTTTAAACCTTTTAAGTTTTTGGTTGAAGGAATTTGCTACTGATTTGATGTTAATATTGATACCCAAGAATGATGTTTAAACTTTTTAAGAATGACATTTTGTTACTGATTTCGTTTTGATCTTTAAAACTTTAAATAAAACTTAATTGTACTACTTATATATGTACGATGTATACTTGATATATCACTGATATACTATTGATATACAGAAAAACCCTAAGTTTCTATTTACCTCTGATTTCTAATTGATTGTGCATTCATCTTCTTCTCTTTGATTTCTCATTCACAGTAATTTCGAAAATCACCATTGACATTGACATTCACGTTCCTTTCAAGTTTTCTTTCTCATTTTCAGTAAGTATCAAATTTTTTTCTCATTTTTCATGCATGTCAATACCTACTGATTTTTAATTGATAAAAAAAATACAAGACAAATAGTTAAAGCAGGTAAAATAGTGATTTGCTATTATACAACTGATATAGAACTGATTGACTTCTAATATATTATTGATTTACTTCTGATATACTAATGTTGTTAGATATACTCCTGATATATATGTGATATATGTTTGATATATAATAACGAAAAGAAATTGGGAAAGTTTACTCACGATAATTGAAAAGGGTAATTTAGGAATACTGATAATTTTAAAATCAAGATTTTCAAAAAAAATGTTATATCTGAAAATATAAAAAAGGCATGTTATTTTGTTAAATATAGAAAACTTATATGCTACCAATTACAAATCCCCTAATATTTAAAAGTCATCCACTTTAAAGATCTCGCCCTTATTATTTCTCATGATTATGCCAGAAGTGTTCTTCCAAATGGTTAATAATATTAAGGGTGTACACTAGTTGGATTGAGTCGGTCTAGAGAATTTTTAAACCAATTTAAAATTTTGTTTAGAAAACTGAGTTCTAAATGACACTTATTTCCTCGAGATGATACATGTTAATTTATTTAGAGCAGATTTATTGTTCAAATAAGCTGATAACATTAGTTCAAATTTTACATTAAAAAATTAATTTTGAAGACGATAAGTAGGAATGACCCAAAGATCTTGAGCTCTGGGACAAGTTAAACCAAATTCTTCTGTCATATCTAGTTCAGATGGCAACATACCATTTGGAAGTTCCCAATCAAAACAATGTACGAGTTGAGCTAGTAATAGTCGGACCACGGTTAATCCCAATTGCATTCCAGGGCAACTTCTACGACCAGCTCCAAATGGAATCAGTTGAAAATCTCTCCCCCTCACATCTATTTGGCTATCGATAAACCTTTCGGGAAAGAATTTCTCTGGGTCAATCGTCCAACCACTTGGATCTCGTCCAATAGCCCATACGTTTACTATTACACGTGATTTTTTAGGAATATGAAAGCCTTTGACTATGCAATCTTCAAGAGATTCACGAGGAATTAATAATGGAGCTGGAGGATATAGTCTAAGAATCTCTTTAACGACCATTTCCAAATATTCCAAGTTTTCCAAGTCAGATTCTTCAACGACCCTATCCAAACCTACCACTTTTTCTAATTCAACTTGCATTTTCTTCATGATATGTGGATGTTTAATAAGCTCTGGCATTGCCCATCCAATTGCAGTAGCTGAAGTATCCATTGCTGCAGCAAGCATATCCTGCAAAAAGCTCAAAAATAAAAATTAAAAAAAAAATCAATGGATAATTCACGTTATCAATGAAACGCCTACAAATGATGTAGTCTATTGGTTGGTAGATGTTTACGACTCATATATTCTATCAAAAGTAGACAAATCTATTAGTGATAGACTCATAAAACGTTTCCAGAATATTGTAGTCTTTCTTTATGTCTGCTTGGCTAAGTTATATTGAATCTCTTTTCTGATTTCAGTACGAGGGAAAATCTCAATTAATCCACAAATATCCTCAAACAAGAGGGTTTAATTATCAACCTTTTCTTTAATATTGATTTTTTAACTTTGTTTGGGACCGTATGCATATTTTGTTAATAGAGCAAACAGAGTGGAACAATAAAAAGTAAATAAAGAGTTTTTGCCGACAGACGACAATTATGTTTAATTACGACCAAAATCACACATTGTTTTGTTTTTTTTTTCTTTTGCCAGCTCTTTAAATAGATGGTAGGTACTTGCAAGTCGCACTATAACAATTATTAGGGGAAAAAAAGTAGTATTTGATTAGTAGTTAATAACTCACAGTTATTACAAAAAAAAAAAAAAAATTGAATAGATATGCATATTTGAGATTATGGGAATCAATTAACTAGTTAAAACATATCTTAAATCTTTTTAAATCCGCTTACCTAAATCTCAGCCTCTTGAACTCGAAAAAAATTAGATCAAAATTCAAATTCTCACCGCATTTATAACACTATATTCTTAAAAAGAAAAATTGAATATTTCAGATGTATAATTATATAGATAGACAATTTAAACCTCACCAGCATAATAGCTTTAATGGCAGACCGATCAATTTGATACTCAGACTGCTCAGAATCTACGAGGTCCAACATGACATCCACAAAGTCCTTAGTTTTATGTTCATCTCTGGCCTCGAGATGTTCATTAATAATCTTCTCAAGAAACCCATCAAACACCTTATGAACAGCTTTCATCTGACGGGTGAGCCCTTGAAGATCAAGCCCAGCAATAAAAGGAATAAAATCCCCCAAATTAGGGGCAGCTCCCAATTGCAAACCTTGTTGCATCACAGCCTTGAACCCCCTCTCATCAAACTCTTTGTCTTCATATTTCTTCCCAAACACCATTAGACAAGTTATGTCTGTGGTAAAAGACGTGACTTTATCGCTAAGATTCACAGCAACTCGATCACAAGCCGCGGCCTCTCGAAGGTGCTGAATCAACAGCCCCAGCTGGTGCTTTCTCATGGACTTGAAGGAGTTGATTTTGAGGTTGCTGAGCAGTTCGAGAGTGCACATTTTGCGCATGTTGCGCCAGTATGGGCCGTATGGTGAAAACACCAAGTTTTTTTGACGGTATGAGATGTGCTTCGAGGCCTCCGAGGGTGGCCTGCTGGCGAAAACGAGGTCGTGTGTTTTGAGGAACAGCTCGGCGGCGGAAGGGGAAGAGACTATGATGGTGGGTACGAGACCTAGTTTCATGTGCATTATGGGGCCGTATTCTTGGGACAATTTTTGAAGATCTCTGTGAGGGAGCTTTCCTAGCAAATGTAGACTACCAAAAATTGGAAACCCTTTTGGACCAGGAGGCAATTTCTTGCGTTTGTTGTGGTTTTTGAAGAGGCATGAGCGTAGGAGAAGAGCAATAAGGGATACAAGAGTGACCCAAATCCAAGCCATAGCTATTGCCTATGGGACTTCAGATTTGAAATGAGGGGGAAAAATCTGGGAGTGGTGTCTTTTATGTTCTTCCGATGTTAAATAATTGAATGAGAGGGAAAGATGGGGATAATCTTAATTAATTTGGATAACGGTTTCCAACGTCGTGGATGCCTAAGTCACGTAAAAATTCAATCGAGAGTAATGAGATGATTGTTAAGGATTTCACATTGAAAAGAAAATGGACCTAACAAGACATGGATTGCTCCCTCTCATTGTCAATTGATTTTGAGATGGAACCCCATATATATTGATAATGATGTATGGTTGTATAGATCTCACCTTTTTTCTTATTTATAGAAGGAGTCTTCAACTCAATCGAGTGGGCCGATCCAATGACTCGACCCATGTCGCTTTCTTAAGTTAACCTACTACCGTTAGACTTTTTACTTATTTGTCTTGACTCTTGTTCTTGTTTGATAAAGACAATATTGATGGCGAATTCTATCTTAGGGTTTCAATCTAGACGTCACATTTGATTTTTTAAAAAAGGGAAGCCAAAAATTTTATCCGGCCTTTTTATCCCTAATATTTTTGTCCATTTTATATTAAAATTTTGATTTTCTTAAAAAGGAAACTCTACGGTGCGTAGAGTTTGGATGAGGGTTTCAACGTCGATGTTTAACTTAGATAAAAAGGATTCAGTAGAATGTAACGAAAAGTAGAGTTTTATAGAACATACCTCACCTCACCTCTCCTTCACTAGGTTCAATCGAGTGGCTCAATCTTGATGACTCGACCCACCTCACTTTCTTAAGTAAACCTACCACAATAATTTTATCTTTGCTTATTTGTCTTTGGCTCTTGCCTCACTTGTTTGATAAAGACAATGTTGATGGAGAATCCTATCTCTTTAGGATTTCAATCTAGACGTGACGTTTGATTTTTAAAAAAAGAAACCCAATGTATTGTGAAAGTGAAACTTTTCGCCTTGCCTTTTTCCCCCCTATTATTTCTGTTCATTTTATGTTAAAAATTTGGTTCTTTCAAAAAACAAACCCAACGGAGTATGCTACATGTATTGTGAAAGTGAAATTTTTCTTGTTCTTTTTTCTCTACTATTTCTGTCCATTGCCGGCCGGTTTGTAAATTTTAAATCGTCAAATTTGATGGGTTTGATCTGATGCACGAAGACAAACAGTACAACCAAGCCAATAACAATCAAAGTTTAAATATCTATATACAATAATACAACGACATTTTTATGATACTTCCAAATTTTCATATAACTAAATATTTTAAATCTCGATATAAAAAATGTCTATATCACAATTTTATAAAATCTGTATAGAAATATTAATAAAATGACGATGTCAATAGTTATTGGTAAAAAACACATAAAAATAAATTTTTCATAACAAATATTAAAAATGACAAATAAACATTCACTCTTTTTAAATGAGTTAAAATTTATTAATATTGGTATTAGATCTATATTTATTATTTTTATTGAATTTTTATATATATATATATATATATATTTTTGTGATACTATGAAAATGTTAATTTATTCTTTACGTCGATGTCGAAACAATAGACATGAAAATATCAATAGAAATGTCTCAATGTCTAATTTTGATTGAAAAATCAATATATTAACTCCTTGCATTCATGCAGTTAATATATATTTTTAAAAATATCAAAGAAATATGAAAATATTCATGAAAATATAAAGTATATATTTATTAATTTAAATCATTTTTATTTTTTAAAATTAAAAAATTTTCATATATGTTTTCACAAAATTTAGATGCCAACATTTCTCGTCAATATGTCAAAATTCTTGGTAATAATACAATTATTACTAAGCTTCCTCGTTTTAACGATCTTTATTTTTGCATGGAAAACTTGAAAGAATATGAAAAGAAGAAATTGGAAAACTTTAAATAATTAAGATGGGAATTTTATGTATAAAATATTGAGATAAAAACAAATTAGTCTTATCAAGTTTATTTAATTGATAGAACTTTACATAAGAGAGAAATTTTTGTTATTTGAATTCCTCGAACTTTAATATATATATATATATATATATATATTCATTTTTTTTTCTTTTTCTTTTTTTTTAAAAAATATTCATTTTTATCTATTAAACCTCGTGAAAAGTTATATTTTAATATTACTTGGACTTTTAAATAATAATTATTATATTTTATATCTATTATTATGTATAATATTATCGAACCAAATATTTATACCTCAGTAAAAAAAAAAAACTTATGTAGCCCTCCCTTTAATGTTATTTTTGAAAAAAATCAACAGTTGAACTTTTAATGACAGTTAATAACTGACGTTAATAGGCAGAACAATGTCGGTTAGAAAGATGCATTGAAGGTGATGAGAAAATTGAGTGATATCGTAAAGCTCGGCATTGAGAAGAAAGAAGGGAAAAAGACCGGCGCGTCTTTAAAAACCCCGAAACACAGGGGAAGGAAGCGAGCATGAGAAGAAAAGAAAAGAGGTAGGCATAGAGCCAATTCCCCTTTCTCCCTTATCACTCTCAAAGGAGGGACACCTTACTTAACATCTTTTTCTAAATAAAGCATGTTCTGTATCTCTCAAATTCAATAAAAGGAAAACAAACATGATATCAACTCGATAGAAATCCGTTGGCGGGCAGCACAAATCCTTTCTTTTAGTTAGTCGAGCAAGAGTTGTTCCGACTCAGTCCATAGATCTTCTTGGAAAATTTCTGCATAGGATAGCACCGTGGGATTACAACTACATTTTAGGCCCATGTTCTGTTGTTATCTGTTTTTAGTACTAAAAGTACCTTAATTTGATGATACCCTTATGGTTCCTATGTTCATTTATGTTCTAACTTGTGTGCTATTTCTACTCATTAATTCTTATCAATGCCTATATACAGGACCATCACGGTTCACTCTTGATCAACTTTATTCATTATTTCTGGCCTTCTCTCCTAAGAGTACCGTTGGTTGAATTCATGATAATGCCTATTGTCAAGGTTGGTATGTTTTATTGGTCTGACTAGTCCTTATTCCTTAGCAAGTTAGCTAAAAGATATGACTTCTTACATTATTATGACCTCCGATCCATAGGCTACTCATAGAGAGGAAGACTTGACTCTGGCATTTTGCCTTTGCAACGAGCGAAAGTCTTTCTAACTCCGATTTATTGTATAGTCTGGTACCTTTAACTGTTAACTGTTAGGTTCTTTAATTCTTTCCCGTGTGATTATAAAACTTTGTGATTATTGAATTTGTATTTCTTTAAAAATTATTGAATTATTTTGTTTGCTAGAATGAATTTAATATGAGTTTTATAGGTATTTAAATGGTATAAATAGTATTTTTATTATTATTGTTACTTTTTTTCATGTTTTTGTAAAAACAATGTCAGTTCATTGTCAGTTTAGAACTGACATCATAAACAAACGTCATCATAGACGGTTATTTAGATGTCGATTAATAATCGATATTATTCTTCTAACTGTAGAACTAACATTTACTGACATCAATTAGTAACTAACATCAATCATAAATCTCAACTATTTGACTTTTTTTCTTTTTAGTATAACATATGAGGTGGGGATTTAAACTTACAACATTTTGATCGGAGATAGACGTCTTAAACCAATTGAGCGATACTCAGTTTGGCCTCAATTATTTCACCATTAAATTAAAGTCTAAAAAATACCGTTTTCCAAAGTTAGCCATCGTGCCTATATCATGAATTTGTTTCACTATGCCCATGAGAAAGCTTGTAATTAGCTAGCAATAACTAACTTTTTATCTATTCAAAGATTGAAAAAACTGTTTCAAAGAAAAAAAAAGTGAAAAAACTTGTAAAAAGTAACAAGTAGAAATTTTCTGCCACATTAATTTAGAGACCGACTCTTGCATTATTGTTGTTTAAGTGTACAGATCAGATGAAGATAGATTTTTACTCGGAAGTGTCTCGGAGAGAATTTGCAGCTTTGTGATGCTTATGGTTGTGATTTATCTCTTTTATTTATCTATTTTTTTTTCAAAAGATGATAACAACTCTAATACATTAATTGAATTTGGCATCGGAATGAATACGATAAATAGGAGTAACTATAAGATCTTGAGCTCTAGGACAAGTTAAACCAAATTCTTCTGTCATATCCAATTGAACTGACAACATATCATTTGGAAGCTTCCAATCAAAACAATGCACGAGTTGGGCTAGTATCAAACGAACCACAGTTAGACCAAGTTGTATTCCAGGACAACCTCTTCGACCAGCTCCAAATGGAATTAATTGAAAATCTCTCCCTCTCACGTCCACTTGGCTATCAACAAACCTCTCAGGGTAGAACTTCTCTGGATCAGTCCAAGTACTAGGATTTCGTCCAATTGCCCATGCATTCACAATTACGCGCGATTTCTTTGGAATATGAAAGTCATTGACAACACAATCCTCGAGAGATTCATGTGGAACTAACAACGGAACAGGCGGATACAACCTAAGAGTTTCCTTAATGACCATGTCCAGATATTCTAAATTTACCAAGTCTGATTCTTCCACCATCCTATCCAAGCCCACTACTTTTTCCAATTCATCTTGCACTTTCTTCATTACCTGTGGGTTCTTTATGAGTTCAGGTAGCGCCCATCCAATTACCGTAGCTGAAGTGTCCATTGCAGCACCAAGTATATCCTGTAAAAGTACAATTAACCATTTATAAACACGTCACAATCTCTTTTATAGCTTTCATAAAAATATCATTTTTGGTTCACTTACCAACATTATTGCTTTGATGCTAGACCGATCAATTTGGTACTCAGTTTCTTCAGACCCCATTAGATCTAGCATGACATCTACAAAATCCTTACTTCTTTTTGCACCCATTGGCTTAAGATGCTCATCAATAATCCTTTCAAAGAACTCATCAAACACTTTGCTAACATTTTTCATCCGACGAGTCAGCCCTTGAAGATCAAACGTTGCAACAAAAGGAATATTAAAATCTCCCAAATTAGGAGCAGCAACCAATTGCATCACCTCTTGAATCATAGTCTTGAAACCCCTATCATCAAACTCTTCATCCGAAAATTTCCTTCCAAACACCATCAAACAAGTCATATCTGTGCTTAGAGACGATACTTCAGAACTAAGATCAACCACAGCACCATCATTAGCCTTCTCTCGAACACGATCAATCAGCAATCCAAGCTCTTCCTTTCTCATGGACTTGAAAGAATTGATCTTGAGGTTACTTAGCAATTCAAGTGTACACATTTTGCGCACATTACGCCAGTAAGATCCATATTGAGCAAAAACCAGATTCTTTTGCCCATAAGAGAGGAACTTAGAGACCATAGTAAGTGGCCTGCTTGCAAAAACAAGGTCATGGGTTTTGAGGAAAAGCTCAGCAGCTTGTGGGGAAGAGACAACAATGGTGTTTACAAGTCCCAGCCGCATGTGCATGATTGGACCATATTTTTGGGACAATTTTTGAAGATCTCTGTGAGGGAATTTTCCCAAAAGATTAAGGCATCCCAGAATGGGAAACCCTTTTGGGCCAGGAGGCAATTTCTTGCTGTTGAACAGCCATGGCTGTAAGAGGTAATTAGCAAGAAGAAGAAGAAGTGCAATGGTGGCCCAAATCCAAGGCATGGCAGTTTTCTCAGGTGTTGACGTTAAGAATTGGAATTTATGGTGAGCTTTAATTGGAGTAAAGATCGGTACATGTCTATGAAAATTATTGTCCTATTTTTTCTTTTATAGATGTTTGTTTTTTTCATCCTCCATTGATGGCATTTGCTTACGCTCGTTAATTTATTATATTTTAAAGCCGTCAAGAAGTTTTCAAATTTGGGGTGTTTTAATCCACAAGAAGTATTACAACCAAACTTTGCCACATGCTCGTAGACAATATTGTCAACTCGATGGAGATAGGAGATGGCTTTTAAAAAATATAGGAGATTACGTGAAATTAAAGATTCTTTTCTGGAGGGTTTTTCCAGTTGAATGAAAGTTTTAAATGTTGTCTATTTTTCATTAAAATGTCTTTAGAAATTTAAAATGATGTCATCAATAGATAATTTTGAAAAAATAAAATAAAATAATTGATTACAAATATTTTGAATAACATATGAGCATTTTATCTTTTTCAATAAATTAAAATTTATTAATTATACTAATATTATATTCATATTAGTAATTTTCAAAATTATCTATTGATTACAAATATTTTGAATAACATATGAGCATTTTATCTTTTTCAATAAATTAAAATTTATTAATTATACTAATATTATATTCATATTAGTAATATTCTACTAGAGTTTTATATAACTTTTGTATGATATTATGAAAACGTCGATTCAAGGTATATAGAAATATTTATATGTGAATACAAATTTAATATTTTGACTAGAATATTTTTTTATTCCTAAAAAATATGTTGAAGTCAACCATATTTTCCTCTCTAGATTATTTTATCCTCTTTTTTTTTCCTTTATATATTTTCTTCTCTAGATTACTTCATCTTCTTTTTTTCTTTTCCTTATTTGGAATATTTTCTTCTCTAGAATACAATAGTATAGATGCTTTGTAACATTCATAAAAAATAAATAAATAAATACAAGTCCCGAAAATTTGTATATTAAAAAACGATTTAATTGGAAGTTTCGAACGCTGTCGAACATCACACTTGACAATTCCTTATGTTATCACTTTTCGGAAACTTGTGTGCCAGTCCAATTTGGATCACTTAATTAGATTTAATGACTTTATTTATTTATTATTTATTTTTATTATTGAAGCGTAAAAATTTGACTATTGGTTAGTCTGATCGTATTATATATTTATTAATAAAACCGGTATTCTGCATTACCAATAAAGACATTTTCATTCTTTTATATTACTTTATAAGGATTCGTTTGGTAACGTTCTTGTTCCTTCTTTCCTGTTTTCTGTTTCTAGTTTTTATCTAGTTTTTTTATTGTTTCTTTTGAAATAAACAAAAATATGTTTGATAATAACTATTTCTTCTTTCTTGTTTTTATCTTTAGTTTTTTTTTAGTACAACAGCTTATGGGGTGGAGATTCGAACTCACCATCACTAAATCAAGAATACATGTCTTAATTCCGATTGACTTATATTTATTTTTAGTTAAAATAAAATTTAGTATATACGACATAAAAAGATATAACATATACTTGAATAATATAATATATCTGTAACTAGACTGATGTTATAATAATATGGCGTTTAAACTTGCGGCCATAGTATCTCATTCTGAGGCCCCTCTCTCCTCCGTTCCCTTTGCGTGGCCTGCGAAGCCGTCGGAAGTGGGCAGTGGCAGTGAAGGTCGTGAGCCTGACGAGAGAACAGAGGAAGAAGAAGGTGAAACTTAATCGTGAAGACAATTTTTTTCAAGAAAAAAATAATAAATAAAAAGTATATATTTTGTCAAATGACCAATTTTTTTCAATTTTGATAAATTTTGAAAATAAGTAAATTATTTTTTAGATCTTGTAGTAATAAATCAAAAACTAATATGGAGATTAAAAATTATTTTACAAATTTAAATATTAATTATGAATTAATATATGATTAGGCTAATTAATATGAAATTTATACCAATAAAGTCGTAAACCTAATAGGTTTGTTTAAGAAAACTAAATTTAGGTAAGAATGCTAATTTGAGTTATGTTAAATGTTATTACGAAGCTTTTAAGAATTTATTTGGATCAGGGTGAGAGAATGATTGATAACAAAAAAGTGGGAGAGAATTTGAGAGAAGAAAGAGAGAAATTGGTGGGAGAGAGTGCAATTGTGGCAGAGGGATAAGCGGGGAAGAGAGAGAGAGAAAAATGGGAGAGATTTAGGCATAGAATATGTTTTTTTTTTTTATTTCTTTCCTCATTTCAAACGTTATAGTTTTGTTTCTATTATTTCTATAATTTAATAAAAATAAAAATAACCTAACAAACTAAAGCGAACATAGTTCAGCGGTAATTTGCATGTATCTCTAACTATGAGGTTGTAAATTCAACCTTCTATTCCCACATGTTGTACTCAAAAATGATAAAAAAACAAAACCGATCGGTCTCTAATAGTTTCATCATATACAAATAGCAGCTAAATGTTTACTGATGGTTACTTTACTCTCCTCCTCTTGTTCATTTATTTATTTCTTTTTGTTGAACAATATAAAAACTACTACATTAATATGATTTTGACATTGAAAATTAATTCCTAATAAGATTTGACATTAAATATCAATTCACTTAGGAAGATGATAAATGAGAATAACCATAAGATTTTTGGCTCTGTGACAAATTAAACCAAATTCTCTTCTCTCATCCAATTCAATTGGCAACATCTATTTGGATGCTCCCAATCGAAGCAATGCACTAGTTGAGCCACTACTAGTTTAACTAAAATTAATGCTAATTGCATTCCAGAACAGTTTCTACGACCAGATCCAAATTAAATCAATTGAAAATCTCTCCCCTTCACATCTACTCAAGCATAAAAAAATCTCTCTGGAACAAATTTTTCAGGATCTAACCACATGCTTGAATCTCGTCCAATTGTCCATACATTAACTACTATGCGTGATTTCTTAGGAATATAGTAACCATTAACATTACAATCTTCAACGGACTCACATGGGACTAATGGAATGGGTGGATGCGTCCTAAAAATCTCCTTGATGACCATTTCTAAGTATTCCAGGTGACATAAGTCTGATTCTTCCACCATTCTATCCAAACCCACCACTTTTTCTAATTCCTCTGGTATTTTTTTTCATTGTATGTGGATGCTTGATAAGCTCAGCTAATGCCCAATTGATTGCAGTGGCCGAACTATCCACTGCTGCAAGAAGCAAATCCTGCAAATTACGATCGTTTGACAACATATATCATAATTATTTTTAAGTACTTGAAAATTTTTATGAGCGTTTTTATCCACAAGTGTTAAATTAGTTCTCTACGTTTAACATTTTTTAATTATACCATTTCTATTCCTAAAAAAAAATTTGTACAATTTCTATCGATGAATATTAAAATTCAATAGCATGATACAACTTAATGACATGGTAGAAATTTAAAGGAGCAAGTAGGCTAAAGAAGAAAATTCTAAGTAGTTTCTTATTAATTTTTAGATAGCCTAATTCCTTCTCTAAACTTATGCAACCTCATTAAATATCATATCACATCACGAATATTCATTGTTATTAAAATATTAAGAGATGCTAGAAAACTTTTCCTATAATAGATAAACTAGATTGAAAAATCACTCAAATATTAGCGACTTAAAACATATACTCAACATCTTTTCTTTGTCCATCAACTTTTCTAGTTGTAAAATTTACTTACGGGAATTATAGCTTTGATGTTTTCGCGATCAATTCGGTACTCGGTTCCTCGAGATCCCATCAAATCCAGCATAACTTCCACAAAATCCTTGGTTCTATTTTCAATCTTGGACGTGATCTCAATATGTTATTCAAGAATCCTCTCTAACAACCCATCAAAAACTTCACTAACACATTTTGCACGACGCCACAGTTCTTGAAGATCATGCCAGCAAATACAAGGAAAAAAATCTCCCAAGTTAGTAGCCGTCGCCAACTGTGTAGTCTCTTGAATCAAACCCTTAAAACCCTTTTCATCCAACTCTTTGTCACTATATTTCCTCCCAAACACCATCAAACAGATCATATCCCCAACAAGAAACGAGACTTTGGAACTAAGATCCACCACTTGTTTATTTTCCGCAGCCTCTCGAAGATTATCAATCAATAAACCAACCTCTTGCTTCCTCATCGACCCAAAGGAGTTGATTTTGAGGGAGCTAAGCAATTCGAGAGTGCACATTTTGCGGATATTGCGCCAATAAGAGCCATATTCGGCAAAAGCCATGTTTTTTCGACCGTAAGACAATTTGTTGGATGTCTGAGTAAGTGGTCGGTCGGAGAAAACATGGTCGTGGGTTTTGAGGAACAGCTCGGCTGCTTGATGGGAAGAGATAACAATGGTGGGTATGAGGCCTAATTTCATGTGCATTATGGGACCGTATTTTTGGGACAAGTGATGAAGATCTCTGTGAATGAGTTCTCCTACGAGATGGAGGCTTCCAATAATGGGAAACCCTTCTGGACCAGGAGGCAATTTCTTGCCTTTGAACAGCCATTGTTGTAAGAGGTAAACAAGAAGGATTAGTATAATTGTGGCCAAAATCCAAGGCATGGCGATGAAGAGAGATTTGTAAGCTTGTAAGCAACACTCACAAGCTTGGTTAGAGCAAATTTGGCAACCCTTTATAAGGCCTCTTTTGTTTGACTATTCAAATTCGTCAGCTGTGCCAAATTTGATGAAGGGAAGGTGGGATGGGGTTGTGTCTAAAATTGGAAGTCGTAAAGAAAATTGGCGAGTGATGGCAATTTGGCAATAAATCATTTGACTCGCTTCAATATTACTGATTGAGGGTGTAAATCATTTCACTGGCTTCAATATTATTAATTAAGGGTGTATTTTGGAGTGATTTTGATATGACGAAAATAACAAATAAAATCATTTTTCTTTYCGTGGATCATTTCGCGAAATTAAAAAATTGATTTTAGGAAAGTTTAAAATCACTTTAAATTAATTTTAATGTATTACTGACATGAAAATCAATTATACTTAAATCTATTTTTAATTCATTTTGTTATTCCTTGTTATTTTTATATAATTTCTAATTTATTCCTCGTTATTTTTATGAAATTTCTAATTCTTTTGTTATTTTTATATAATTCTTGATTTCTAAAATATACTTTTATCTAATTTGGTGATTCTCAGATAGAAATTCAAACTTAATTCTGATTTCATTTGTTATAATCATTTTGGACCCATATAGCCAAGCCACATGGACCAAAAACGATTGTTATACATGTTAGTTGATAAAATTAGTCTTCTGAGAGGACTGTCTCAAGCTCTTTCCTAAAGATCATTAAGGGATGAACGACCTTCCATACTTAACCAAATGTTGGACAGAAACACCATTAATCAGGATGAAGGGCCTCCCTACCCAGAACATGCACGCCTGACAGGCCGACTTTCGGCACGACAAGTCCAACCGCCGGTCGGATACCCTATTGGGTATCCAAACCTATAATAGAGCACTTCACTCCTACCTTAGGTATCGAATTCTAGCTCAGTCTTCATACTAAGGTTGACCTTAAACTGACTTGAGTCTGGGAGTGTTTGTTTCTCTTGTGCAAGTCCTTCCAACTTGCCAGACGACACCTAAGCTGACTTTCCAATCAGCTTACGTTGATCAGGCCGACCTTGACCGAATTTTGTTGCTCAAACAATAGGAAAGTCCTTGATTATAAAAACCTTGGTTAAAATTTTGAAATTATTTTTATTTTTTAGGGAAATAAAATATTAGTTATTAAAACTAATTTTTAAATATTGAAAAGATGATCAAACAGACTTTAAAAAAAATTAATTGATGTTTCAAAAAATTTAGGATCAAAATTTCAAATATATATATATATAACACACATACTTGACTAATATATAATTGAAGTTTTTTTAAAATGATGAATTTAAATTAGAAAAGAAAATTAGAGACAAAACTCTAAAAAAAAATCAAATAAAAAGGTCCACCATTTTTATTTGTACACGTGTCTTGGCTGCGGGGAACCAAGACTAGCATAAGTTTCTTTTTCCTTTTTTGAGTAATCCATTCTTATTAATTTGAAGTATATGATCAAGTTGGATGTTTTAATTATATGATTAACTTGATTGCTTAGATAATACCGATTAATGTGAGATATTTAATTTGGCATGCACTTCATTACAATTAATGAGTCTTATAAAAAAAAATCATTTAATTTAATTAATTAATAGGGAGGTTTAACTAATTAAGTGAATATTACTTTTTTAATAATATTTAGGTTAAAAAACACATTTGGTCCTTGTACTTTAAGTAACAATTTAGTCCCTAAATTTTATATGGTAAACGATTTAGTCCCTATACTTTCACTAAAGTAACAATTTAATCTCTAAACTTTAACTTGTAACGATTTAGTCTTTGTAGTTTAAAATTTGTAACAATTTAGTTCCTTTCATAAACAGTTTTATTAAAATTAAGTGTCAAATTTTATGATATAACAATTTAATATTTCTAGTTCTAACCTCATATTTGGTTCCTCTTTAGTTTATCTATCTATATATATATAAGAAACTTAACAAAAAAATTTCACGATAAGGACTAAATCGTTACGAACTTTAAGTTACAATGACTAAATTATTATATATTAAAGTTCAAGGACTAAAGTGTTACCAATCTGAAAGTACAGGGACTAAATCGTTACAAACTAAAGTTCAGAGACTAAATTGTTACTTTAGCCAAAAGTATAGGGATAAAAGTATTTTTTAACTAAACATTTACTAATTAATATTTATTTATAGTCAATGCTTCAATTGATCAGAAATTATTTACCTTTTTAAATGTATGAGGTTTGAATTTTCCACCTAATATTGAATTAAAAAAAACATTTCTTCATTATCATTTTTAAATAATAATAATAATAATAATAATAATATATTATTATTATTATTATTATTATTATTATTATTATTATAAGTTAAATAACTTGATGATATATGAGATGATAATGCATCTATTAGAAAGGTAGATGATACGAAAAATGACTACTCAATCAAGAGGTCAGAGATAACGTTTTTCTTCCTGGACAATTGTAAGTAGATCGAGAGGTCGTTCCGCCCCTCGACTTAAGCTATAGGCGAGCCAATAAAGGCATCATATTTTTCATACAATATATATATATTTATTTTTAGTTTTTAATTATAAATGAATTTAAAATATAAAATAATATATTTTTCTAAATTTTTCTTATAGTATTGAAAATAAAAACTAACCATAAATATAACTTTCTTAAAAATAAAAAATCAGTTCATAAATTTCTCTCTAACCATTTCAAATACAATTTCATTAAAGTTTCTTAAAAATCTCAACCACCTTAAAATTTTACAAGTTTACGGTCAGACATTCTATATTTATCTCTTTATCTAATTTTTTTTTTCACAAATAAAACTTTTCAACTTCTCTTAAAAAAATTTCCAATTAAAATTCTCCCTCCCTCTCTCAAACTCTCTCAAATCTAATTTTTTATCTTCGATTTTATATGTCTAATGGTTAGAGTATAAATCAAACTTTGTATTTGTTCAAATCAATCTAATAGCTTTAAAGTTTCAAGTCTTTTTTTTCATTTTGTTTACTTTTTTAATTTTATTTTATATTGTTGATTTATTCAATACTTTAATATATTTGTTTAAATTTGGTTACTTATAATCCCAATATACCTATTTATGTATGAATCTGGATATGAAAAGTTTAAAAAGAAAAAAAAATAGAAAAAATGAAAAATTGGTTATAAATTAGTTGATTTATAGATAGAAAAAATGTCTCATTGAAAAAATTAATTTAATTTTTCTAAAAGATAAAATTCTAGATAGTTTTCTATTATTCATTATACTAAAAATTATCAAACAGCGAAAAAAATTTGCTAGTTTAAATTTTGATAAAGCTTATGGTTTTTGTAGCAAGTTATTTGGTAGTAAATGTAATACTATTAATTCATTACGGAATGAATGAGTTAAATATTTGGAAAATCTTACAGTTTAGAAATCATGAACCTAATAATGAAACTTATTTAATACGCATGCTCTGATGGATTTACAAATTAGATTTTTTAAAAAATAAAATAATTTACAACGATATTCAAGAATTAATTAATAAAAATATATCGGAATAAAATATTAATAGGAATTACTGTTGGGTTAAAAATTCAAAATTAGTACAATAAATAATAAATAATAAATAATATGTAGTGTGGAAATTTGAACCTCCAACCTTAAAAAAATTATTAAAATTATTAATCACGGGACCAATAGGAACAAAGAAAAATGATTATTGATCAAGATTAAGAGTTTTAAATTGATGGTCTCATTTTTCATTTTTTATTTACTTCGTCGATTTCTTTAATGACCCTAAATGTCAAAGATAATTAGTAGGCTGCATACGTAAATTACGGTTATGGTGTTAATAATTCACAACTTGAAATGATCCACGTTGCTTTTGAAAAGTATGATAATTGAAGACTGCATTATAATTATTAATTGCGTGCCTAATAGAGATAAGTGGAAACTTTGGACTTCCCTCTCAAAATAATAATAATAATAATCTGTTTAATTATATTTTTTATCAATTATTTTATAGTTATGAAGATTAAATATTGTTATAATTGTAATTTTTAAAAGTTATCATTATATTAGATTTTACAAAATATAAGAGACACAAACATTAAAAAAATTAATAATAATAATAATAAAGATAGATTAAGGCTCTTTCAATCCTTTATTAGAAAAAAACACGTACAAATTCTTTTCGAGAGTAGAGGTAAGTCAAGATCGAAGTAATTTTTTCAAAGTTCTAAAAAGATAAATCAGCTCTCTCGGTAAGTCAACAATCGGTAAGATTAAGAATTTAATTCATTAGTTTGGTAATGAAAAGCAAGATAAAAAAGAAAAGAAAAATAAATAAAATTTGTAGATTAAAAGTTTAATCAACTAGATAGCACGACAAATCTCCAGTAAAACATGAAGTAATTCGAAGACAAGGACTCCCAAGTTAAACCATTTGATACTCCATGCGTGCTTAAGATTATATTAATTACTATAAAACCTGTGAATTCTTAAAACAACTGGATCCGTGGCGCAATGGTAGCGCGTCTGACTCCAGATCAGAAGGTTGCGTGTTCGATTCACGTCGGGTTCAATTTTCTGCAGTTTTCATACTTATTTTTCTATTGTTACTTATAAATACTTAAATTTTCTTTGATATCATATAATTGGATCCGTGGCGCAATGGTAGCGCGTCTGACTCCAGATCAGAAGGTTGCGTGTTCGATTCACGTTGGGTTCACTTTCCTTATTTTTGTCTAACTTTTTCATTTCGTCCTTAACTTCGCTAAATTTGCAAAATCAACCACTTCATTCGTCGGATTTTGCTATCACCTCCCCGTCGAAGGGAACCCCTAGACGCCAGAATTCCCAGTTCCCATTTCGCACCAAGATATAATAATATGCCCCTTTCATTCTCCCTTCAATTTTCTCCCTCATTTACTCACTCTTCTTCTTCTTCCACAATTTCCCCACTCTTCCGGCCATGGCTTCCACAGCCTTCGTCTCTGAGGACGGCCGTCGCCACCCAAGTGGTCTGCATTTCAACTCGACCCAAGAAGAAATCAGGGGCAAAAACTGACCGGTCGGAGGCTGAAGAGCTGGTTCGCGGCGTAATCAGAAAATTCAGCGACAAAGAACCATTGCTCAACACACTGGACAAGTATGTCCGCGTTATGAGAACAGAGCACTGCTTCCTTCTATTTGAGGAATTGGGAAGAAGGGATAAATGGCTCCAGTGCCTCGAGGTTCGCTTTCCTTCTCATAACTTCTTTAGGTAACGATGAAATTATTGACAGCAAAAATTGATTGGATTTGCAATCAAGAATGGGGATTCAAGAAAACAAAATTCTGGGTGGGGCTAAACAAGCCAAGAAATTGGAGTTGTGCTATAACATTGTGCAGAAATGTGAGAGATGTTTTAATGATGTATTTGCAATTTCAGGTCTTCAGATGGATGCAGAAACAACGGTGGTATATAGCTGATAATGGGGTGTATTCAAAACTGATATCTATAATGGGAAAGAAGGGCCAAATTCGGATGGCTATGTGGCTCTTCTCTGAGATGCGAAATAGTGGGTGTCGACCTGATACTTCTGTTTATAATGCACTTATCACAGCGCATCTTCATTCTAAGGACAAAGCCAAGGCTCTGGTTAAAGTGCTTTGGTACTTTGAGAAGATGAAGGGAATGGAGAGGTGTAAGCCAAATATTGTTACTTACAACATTCTTACAAGAGCGTTTGCTCAAGCTGGAAAAGTGGATCAAGTTAATGCCCTGTTTAAAGATCTTGATGAGAGCATTGTTTCAGCTGATATATACACATATAATGGAGTGATGGATGCATATGGGAAGAATGGGATGATCAAAGAGATGGAAGTGATGCTTTCTCGCATGAAAAGCAATCAAATCAAACCAGATATCATATCCTTTAACTTGTTGATTGATTCATATGGGAAGAAACAGCTGTTTGACAAGATGGAACAGGTGTTCAAGAGCTTATTACGCTCCAAGGAGAGGCCGACGCTGCCTACTTTCAATTCGATGATAACGAACTACGGGAAGGCACGGCTTAGAGAGAAAGCTGAAGATGTTTTTAGGAAGATGAAGGATATGGGATATGATCCAAGCTATATCACTTGTGAGAGTCTTATCATGATGTATGGTCACTGTGACTGTGTTGCTAAGGCTAGAGAAATATTTGATGGAATGGTTAATTCTGGGAAGGAGGTCAGAGTTTCAACTCTCAATGCCATGCTTGATGTTTACTGCATCAATGGTTTGCCTGTGGAAGCCAATTCACTGTTCGAGAGTGCGACTTGTATGAGGTTGTGTCCAGATTCAACAACATTCAAGCTTCTGTATAAGGCTTACACCAAAGCCGATCAGAAGGAACTTCTGGAGAAGCTCTTGAAAAACATGGACAGAGCTGGCATTATCCCAAATAAGAGATTCTTCCTCGATGCTTTGGGAACTGTTGGAACTTCACCAGAAAAACAAGCATCTGCAAGAACTAGAACAGGTTCAAGAATTTAGAAAGTAGTGTGAAAAACCATGCTGAATAGCTGGGCTTAGTTTAAGAATTTTAGTCAGTTTTCATTCTTTGGGAGCTTCTGGACTTCTATTGAACAAAGGTGCGGCAGTTCTACCAAAATCAGAGGATTGTGGAGTTGGGCAAGACAAAATTTTGTATATATGCGCATTTCTTTTCTGAACCATTTTTGCCTCAATGGCAATTTGAAACTGTGAAATCATAATCAAGAATAATAAGGAATTCCTAATGCAATGTTTCTCACAATAAAATTCTCCAAACTTGAAGTGGGATGCTTGTGGAGGCAAGAAATCAAATGAAAATGACGTTGCCTGTTAGTCGCCTTTGATCAAATATCAACATCAACCTCGACAACAAATAATCAAGCACAATAACTTAGTGGAATTATTGTGCGTTTGGTACATATGCGTTTCTTGAAGTGAAATTACACTAATTCTCAGATATACACATGTAAGAGTAGCTCTTCATAAGTAGTAGTCGAAAGGTTAGATACAATACAAGAAGGTTAATAGTGTAGAATATCAAGTGCGATGGTCATGACGATCCCATTTGAAGTCTTGACAAGGTGCAGCTAATCAACCCTCTTCTGATTCTGCACATCAATTTTATATATTAGAAACAGGTAGAGGCATGATACAGATACGTACATACATATTTATGTATCCACCAACTAATTTGGCCTATTCATTCACAACTCTTAAGTAATGCGTCAAAACACACCATCTTGTAGATATGATCCTATGTCGAAAAATTTACATACCATGTATTGCTTCCATGTTGTCTTCCTTGTAAACACCAAGGGGAGATCCATGGATGGATACAAGCATCTCACCAGGCTTCGGCAGCCTTCGGGTTTTCGGTGTCATCCCAATGGACAATCTTTGGTTGCATACCTATTAAACAATAACTAATTACTTTAGCATTTGAAGCACAATCAATAATTAAACCCGAAACAACGCTATAGATTGTGTATATGTATAACCTAAACAGTTATCTATGCTAATGAGTTTTACGAAAAACAGAAAACCATTGTAAAAAAATTCTAAAACCTAGGACATCACAACTTGGTGTAAACTTCACAATTGTTTTTCTAATTATAGCCTTGCTACTCTTTGTAGATGTTGGAAGTCTTTACGACTTCCTTCCTTGGGGTTAAGCTTTTTGTAGAATACACTAAAAAAAAAAAAAAAAACCAGTTATCCAAACATATTGCTGAATTTTTCAAAAAAGATGAGAAAATTGTTTTGAAACAATCTCCAAGAAGCCTGAGACTTTACCAAGTATAAAATTCATAATCGTTTTCTAATTATAGCCTTACTAGTCTTTGTACTTATTGGAATTCTTTTTTGTAGCTCCCTGCTTTTCCCTCCTCTTGCAGAGTTCCATTCCATCAATAAAATTGTTTCTTACTAAAATAATAGTAGTAACCGAAATGAGGTCATCATTCCCATCAATCCCTCAACAATCCAATCACACTGCAGTCATTATTTCATACGTTCTAAATTGTACTTTTAATGAGAGAGAATTAGTTATTGCCTCACAACTTAGTCCTGCAATAAATTTTTCACTTCTAGTTGATAGCTTTGATCAATAGATGATAGTGCACGTACAAACCTGGACAACCTTTACCTATTTAGCATGGTATTGGCATCCATAGTAACACTTCCACTGACGACTCATATAGAAAAGAACCAAACCCAAAAATCAAAATGAACAATTGAAAGAGAAAAAAACTATAATCTAACCTTTCATAGACTAGTATTTTCAAATAATATCCTATCATAAAACCAAGACCAGTACAAACTTCATTTCCCATTTACCAACTGGTATACAAAGCAACTGTCTTAAACAGGATTCCAAGTTATTACCAGGACAATATATCCCATCTTTGCGAAGCTCATGATTTAGCTAATAAAAGTCTAAATAGTTATTTACTGGATTAGTTTATATACACATAAGTTGGCTTAGGTACCCATAGTTATTTTAAAAAATAACATTAACAATTTATTACAAACACGCTGCCACTATTGTAATTCTGTTCCTACGCTACTATGTGCCTAAATAATTTGAGTCGACGAGGCAACCCATGTTGGAAAAAACCAATAACAGACAACTCTAAGATATTAACAAGAAAAATCTAATATAACAAGCGATAGTACGTACCCCGGGAGTTTGGAGAATGTCTGGCATGCCAAGCATCATACTATCCGAAGGCTCCTCCAAAACCTAAAAAGCAGAAATCATCCATAAATAGATCAGTCAATACCAAAGCATTCTTCTGATGAATGATAATTCAATACATGCTTTTATTTCTCGTGAAGATGAGAAGGCATTCTTCAACAGATCAAAAATACGAACAAGAGATATAGACAAACTAAAACATATTTTGGGAGCTCGTAAGATATCGTTCATTCAAATATTAGAATTTCAGTTAAAAAAAATTAAGATATCAAATGCAAAATTACTTACGAAGCTCGGAATTTGCAAGTTCTCGACATTGAAAGCATTTGTTTTCACTGCCGCCAATAGAGAAAATATGGTTAGTTTCAACAAACAAGAAAAACATATGGGGGTACTTACCAATTAGTTTTATACACCATAATGCAGAATCCGCAGATACCTGATTTACTGGAAAATTCAAAACCGTTCATAGATTGCATTCCGGCAGAGCAGTTAGGATAAGCTATGGACAAGCGATGCAGGAGAGAAGCATGTATGTCTATTCCGTCAGCAGGCTTAGTGTGTAATTCTCCCGCTGCATCCTTCCATTGCACTTCTATTTCCCCTTGTTCGCCTGTTGCTGAAATGGACAAGTTTGGAAGTTTTTCTTCGAAAAATTGCAATATAGGAGTTTGCAATTGCTCTTTGTTGAAATACGAACGAAGCAACCGCAATTCAGTAATCAAACGCTCGATTTCCACATCCCGAATGGCACGTATTGCAGCAGCATGCCGCTCAACTATACAGAAATGAAGGCAAAAGCAGCGGACCAATTACTTTAAAACCTCCGGACAATTTGCCATTGGAAGAAAAACAAAATAAAGTTTCCATCCTACAACTAAGCTCCGACTTCGGGAAAAGGATTGGAACCAATATGAATTTCAACATACCATCCTCGTTGGACACCAAAGGTGCTTGCTCCTCAGGTTTTGACTCATTCTCTGCTTCACGCACAGGAGAAGGGCTCAACTTCTTAGCTGTTTTCTTCGCCTTTCGCCTCGCCATGCTCAGCGACGACTCTTTCTTGACTTTAATGGACTACTCACGTTGCGGCATTCTGAAACGAATCAGTGCTTTACACCTGAATTTTCATAAACGGCAGCAATACAAAGACTTTCAAAACCCTAAATGTAGCGCATAGTGACATTAATTGAAGTTTTGCAGCAATAATGGACATAAATAAACACAAATTAAAGCCAATAACCTGAATTTATTTCAATTAGTTTTGGAACTTGACGAAATCTATCCACCGGATGCGGGAATAAATGAATCGGACTACGTCGGAAACTGCCGCGAATTCCCTCTCGTCCTCCGTTCCAGCTCCGGCCAAGAAGCAGTGTTGAGATTTGGAAAGGATTGGGCGGGGAAAGATATTTGTTTGAAAAATGCTGGTGACGGGATGCAAATAGCACGCGGGTTGGATTTTACAGATGGGCCCGTACTGGGCCGTCTTCCAGAAATTGATGAAATAAGCCTAAATGAAATTCAGCCCAACTAATATGGTATTTTCTTAATTTTGGAGTATTAACGTGTAGGGAACATTTTTTATTATATGAATATACACTGTATTTCTTTTTTCATATAAAAAACAGTTATTCTTTTTCTTAAAAAAAACGAAGGAATAATTATTACTCAATTGGAAGGGAAAGGACCAAACTAGAGTTGTTAAGGGCATGAGAATAATATAGAGGCGTGACCACTATGCTATTAGAAGATTTTATTACACGTTATCCTCAATGTATATATTAATTTAATATTCTTAAAATTTGATGGGGAGACGAGAGCTATTTTAGTCCAGCATCAACTTACTCATAAACCATTGTGCATGTTAAATAAATGGAAATTAATTGGTTTTTTTTTCACTTCGATATGCAGGGTGGGAATTCAAACCTCTTTATCTTTTGATCAATAATTTATGCTGTGATCAGTTGAGTTCTATCTTGACATTTGAAGTCGTTCATGGTATATATATATTGTTTTAGCATACCGACAAAGTTTATTTTATTTTCCTTGCTATATCAAATATTATATTTAAATTTTTAGAAAACTATTTTACTTCATTAATTTTGTTAATGAAAGCTTAGTCCAGACACACAATTTGTATCATTTACCTAATGAAGTAAATTTCTATATTTTCTAAAAAAAAACAAACAAAATTTCTACATAAACAGACATTTGGAACTGACTTGTGTCGGTAAAGTTCAAACTTTAAAAGATAAAAATAATTTTTTGTTCAATGGTTATAAGAAAAAAAATGTCTTCCGGTGATGGCAATAACTATTTTGTATAAAATTTAAAGATTAAAATAAAAGTAAAATGCATGCAATATTGAAACAATTAGAAACTAAAATAGAATAGGTATAAATATTAGGTATTGAAGAAGTATTTAAATTTTTTTTTGTTAAGTTAAAATTATTTTATTTTAGTTTATTAACTTTAAAGAGGTTCCATTTTAGTTATTAAACTTATAAAATATACTTTTTAATCTACGGATTTTTTAATTTATCTATTTTGGTCAATAAACTTAAAATGAAAGGAAAAAATTGCTAAAAGAAAAAGAACGCAGGAATTAGTTGAGAAGAGTATTATATTAATAAATATTAGACGAGCAAAATAACAACAAAAAAATTAAAATCGTTATCTTTTTAAGTTGAAGGATAAAAATAAAAATTTCAATAATTTTTTTATTTTCAAGAAAGAGTTTAAGAAGCAAAACAAAATAAAAACAAAATTTTGAAAAATATTTTATAAACATTTATTTTATTTCAACATAAACATAAGACACCTTTTTTTCTCTCTCTCGAAACAATAATGCATTTTTAGTTGGTCAAAGAGGTCGCAGGTCATTAATTTAAAATAATGCATTTCCTCAACACATCGTGGAAAAGGAAATGTAAAATAAAAGGTGTCAGGTCATTAATTTTTAACGGTCAAATTTGGTGGAGCCCACACCTCAACTAAAATAAAATTAAAAAAATTTCTATAGGTTATTTTCAAGCTTGGGACCATCCAGCGTGACACTGACTTTTATTATTATTTTTTCGTATAATAATTTGAGATATAGAATCCAAAGAAGGATACATGCAAATTGCTTATTGAGTTATACTCATATTTATATTTTCTATATTTTTACATTTAGTTGATTATGGCCCTATATTTTCAACTCATCTTGATCTTATATTTTCAGTTTAGTTCATATATTTTCAAAATATTCTTTTTGATTTTTATACTTTAAAAAATTATCATTTTGATCTCTATTTTTAAAATTTTTAACACAAATTTTACCCATTATAGAAACTATTTAATATAAAATCATTGTTATGTTTCAAAAAATATATTAAGTACAATGTCTTGAAATTGATAGAAAAATGTGGAAAAATGAAATCAATCACAAAAATAGTCCCTTTTTAAAATTACAAGACCCAAAATAGTATTTTAATCTACAATATTAGTTTTATTTTATTGTTATTGTTTTGAAAGAGTTTCAAGTGATACTCTATTCTTTGTCCCTTAGGGGATGACATAGTGGCACGAGCCTTCATCATTGTGGTATTACCTACCATGAGGTCCTAGGTTCAAGTCATACGCTGGTTTCAGTATTGTTCATCTCAGGCAATGAACCCTAGTTATAGAGATTCGCAAGCTACACGACATTAATTTAGAAACTATTTTCAAGAGTTTGAATTTGATTCTTGTGGTTTAATCAAACTTCACCTATAATTATCATATCAATAACCTTTTTTGCACATGTTTCTATTTAGATTACTACGTTGTTGAGTATATTAAGGTTAATGGCCCAAGTAAGAAAATAAAATAAAATAGGTGAGATCTTCAAGTGGATAAAATACAACTTAACTCAAATTAAATGGATCAAATTTGTCAAAGTGAGTTCAGCGGTAATTGACATATATCTTCAATCTAAGAAATTGTGAATTCGATTCCCAACCCCCACACGTACTAAAACAAAAAAGACCAAATTTGAACTTTTAGAACTATAAAAGACCAAATTGAAGATAAGCCCAAATCATAAAAACTATATTAAAACTTTTAAAATTAAAGGACCAAATTCAAACTCTGTCAAATTATAGAGACTATAATTTATAATTTCACCATACATACATATATTATTGAAGCATTATTAAAAGATTATTAAAAGATTGATTACTTTAGTTCAAAATTGAAACTTTGGTGGTAAATCCGTACTCAAAAGTAGAAAAGACAAATAACTTATAAATCTTTTGGGAGTCCAAAATACTAAGATAAAATAAAGTTCCAAATTTTAAAATAAAAAATACTAACTTATGAATCTTTTGGACGTTTTTTTTCTCTTTTTCTTTTTAATTTCAAAAGTTTAAATAAAGTATTGTAGACTATAGAGGATAATAATGTTGCGACATACTTAAGCCGTTCTGATGGATTATCCCGTAAGCCTTTGAGAATTCTCAACTCAAGATGTTAGAAGGTACAAAATAAGTGGTATTTTTCAGCTGTCTAATCTATTAGTTGTAGGTTGACTCCCATAATGTAATTATGGGAGGAGTTAGTAGTTGGACATTGATCCCTTGAGACCTGAAGAACATGAGATGTTGGGTCAAGTTTTGGTGAACCATGAACTTAGCTTAGCAATTAATGTATTTTCGAGCATAGCTAAGTATTAATAATAACAATAAAAAAAAAATTCATGGCCTGATTTGTCAAAAAGAAAAAAATTGTGGTCTCATAAAGGTCAGACCTTTCAACTCAAAATAAATGAATAAATAAAGCTTAAAATGCTATTTTAGTTTATATACTTTCAATTTTGATAATTTTTGTCCATGACTATTTTAATTCTTATTTGTAAAATTTTGACACAAATAACATACCCAACGGTAATTCAATAATATAAAAGGATGAATGTATTTAAAAAAATATTTATTGAATGTAATGTTAGGTTGAAATTGTGATAGAAAATAGAGACTTAAAATAAAATGAAGAGGACAAAAACGATAATTTTCATACAAACGTTACGGAAGTACAAAATTAAAATAGACAAAAGTGAAGTGTACAGTGAATAAAATAGATATAACTTTTTTTTTTCGAGAAATGAATAAAATAGAAATTTTAAGACTATACGAACTAAAATAAAAATAAAATTGAAGAAAATTGGAAGTGTGATAACCAAAATTAGTATTTTAACCATAAATAAATGAGAATTGGTGGCGCTCTTTTAAGTAATAACATTCAAATTCAATAGGCGGATTAAAGGTGCGGGACCACCCAGCCGTGGTATGACTCTCTTTCCGTCGTTTTTTTTTCTTTTTGACAGTGCTTTCCAATTTCCATAATTTATTTTTCTTTTTTGTTTTGGAAAATACTTTCCATCGTTTCACACCTTAGGAAGGTTGCCAATATTTGGAGGGGAATAATAGATTCGAAGCAGATAGAAATATTGAATTGAATATTATATATTATGCGAGATGTAAAATGATAGTCGTTGAACTTAGTTGAACGATAATTAATGGGAAAAATAGGTCCCCGATTAGAATCGTTCTTATGAAAAAAATGTGCAAAAAACTTAGATTTGAATATTTTGTATTTTAATAATCTCAGGTAATTATAGGTCAAATAACTTTTTTCGTCGCATTTTAGAAAGTTCCGAATCTTTTCCAACATCGGATGAGGGCCGAAAGATGGAAGAAGAATCGCGGCGTAGTTTTTACATTTTGGAACCTTTCTTATTCTTCTCCATCTCTCATCAATCCATTCAAGTTGATCGGACAATTCATGGCTCTTCCGCTCTGGATAACCAGAATCGTGGTTTCAGTCCTGGAAATTTCGAGCCATCGTTTCTGGTCTTCCAATGTCGTTGGGAAACCGAGCTGACACGGAGAAAATGTGGAGCGCACTCGCAGAAAGTAGAAGGTAAAGTAGACTTCAAGGAAACCGCTAAAGAAGAAATCTAGAACCAAAAACTGCTTTTATTTCATCCAGACGAAAGCGACGACCAGCTATTGTGAATCAAAGTCGTTTATTCTGATAATGATTTTTGGGTTCCTATTCTTCGCCCAATATTGATAAAACTCTTCACATTGCGATTACTTTTCCTCTTGAACTGCCAGGGAGAACAAGGCTGCTGCCGAATCAGACGGCGACGAAGAAGAGGACAACAGAAAAGGGTGGATTCGAGCTGATTCGTCTCCAAAATCCAATTAATGCCCAGTGAGGTGAGTAACGTGGGCTCTGTGCAGTATATAGTATTTAATGACAGAAACTTTGAACCTGGATCTTTCTAGTTGTCAAAAACCAGATACAATTGGGGAGACGACTAACTAAATAATTAAATAAAAAAAGATTAAATATACGGTATTGGGTTTAGGGTGGAATATAAAATTTCAATTTTCTGAAAAAGAGAGTGGTTCATCACTGTGTAGTTTCTCTTTGTCTCTCTCTCCATAGGCTTGTGATCTCTCTCTCTCTCCCTGGCATCTTATTTCTCTTGTCCTATTTATCATCCCTCTATCAGCTTTCTACCCCTCTTAGAAAATTTATTTCATTGTCATTTTTTACAAGTTAGATTCTACCACCAGCGTACTCTAGTCCAATCTTTACAAAGTTTACTACCAAACAAAAATTTAGCTTCCAAACTATACTGCCAAATAAACTTCTAAATTCAACACATACACCAAATTCCATCTCATATCTTTTTGTTGAACCTTCTATTTTTAAAAACTTGTTTTCAAATCACGAACCAACCAGGGCCTAAGAAGCTGTGTCACCCATATAGGTACCTAAATCATTTAATTTATGTGGATTCTGGCATGATTTTTAATTCCTCGCCAAATGGACCGATTAATTTATGCTGCTTCTTCTGGCACGATTTGGATTTTCAATTCATCGTCAAATGGGTTGATTAAAAAATAACCCATTTTTCTGTATGCTGTCTTTAAATAGTTTGATTGGCTGTTAATATATATGCTGAGATGTTGATGATTTACTTTAAAAAAACAATTAAAAAAAACTGATCAATAGTATCCACTGAGAAATCAATACTGGTTTGTATCTGTGGTGCAGCAATGTTGATGCGGTGGCTTATAATTGTTCTTGTTTCTACTGCGCTGTTGCCTCCCACCTTCATAGCTCGACCTGAGGTAACTGTAGCAAGCCATGGAGCAGTTGCCGCGGATGACGGCCGATGCTCCAGAATTGGGATGGAAGTTCTACGAGAAGGAGGTCATGCTGTCGATGCTTCAGTGGCTGCTGCTCTCTGCTTGGGGGTTGTGAGTCCAGCATCAAGTGGCATTGGTGGAGGAGCCTTTATGCTCATCAGGTCGGCCGATGGACACTCCCAGGCTTTGGATATGAGGGAGACTGCACCTTTTCTTGCTTCTGAGGTTCTGTAAATTTTATTCAATTTGTTTGCATTACTTAGAGTTTCCAATTCGATCTTTATACTTACATGAACATATGCTAAGTCTTATGGATGTAATTATTGACAATTGGAAACTGATGAATGATAAGTTGTTACCTGTTGGCTGTACACAACTTGATGAAATTCATTGATCCAAAATTCATCATCCAATCAGTCTCTTAAATCTCTATTCATTCGTAAACAGAATATGTATGCTGGCAATGCTGCATCAAAAGCTGCCGGAGCCCTGTCCATTGGTGTTCCAGGGGAACTTGCAGGACTTCACGAAGCTTGGAAACAACATGGAAGGCTTTCATGGGCAAGGCTTGTTCAACCAGCTGAACGTCTTGCTCGCTTGGGGTTTAAAATATCTCCATATCTTCATATGCAGATGGTTAGAACTGAACCAGGGATATTGGGAGATGAGGGCCTGAGGAACTTATTTACATCAGGTGGAAAATTGTTAAAACCAGGAGATGTTGTCCGCAACAAGAAACTGGCAAAAACTCTAAGAACCATTTCTAGATTTGGTGTCAAGGCATTCTATAATGGGTCAATCGGAATTAATTTGATAAGAGATATCAGGAAACTTGGAGGGATACTGTCAATGAAGGACTTGCAGAGCTATCAAGTTAAGCTTAGAGTTCCCATTTTAGCCCGTACGATGGGTCTCGAGCTAATCACCATGCCTCCTCCTTCAGGAGGTTCTGGAGTGATTCTTGTAAGTTCATTGTCTTGATGAGGAGTTGTGCTAAACGTTTATCTTGTTAGTAACATCATATTCTGTTCTGCCACAGATGCTTAATATTCTGGCTCAATATAAACCACCTTCAGGGCTTTCTGGTCCTCTTGGCATCCATCGAGAGATCGAAGCGTTGAAACATGTCATTGCAGTAAGGACAAACCTCGGTGATCCTAGTTTCTTCAATGTCTCCGAAGTTCTTTCCAACATGCTCTCCCCAAAATTTGCTCAACAACTAAAGAAAACCATCTATGACAACAGGACTTTTGATCCAAGCCATTATGGTGGCAGGTTGGTGCTCCTTCATAGATGGTTATATTACCTTACTTTTCCTCATTTGTGTTTCCATTCTGTTAGCATGACTATATAAAAACTTTCCTGGTTCTCCCTCTTTGTTGTTTGTTCTAAACACGACCTTATCTCCACTTCTACCTCTGAGCCTATTTGTAACATAAATTCTGTTCCTAACAGATGGAATCCAATCAATGACCATGGCACCAGTCATTTGTCCATTGTCGACGCAGAAAGAAACGCCGTCTCGATGACTACGACTGTGAACTCCTATTTTGGCGCACACATTCTCTCCCCAAGTACTGGAATAGTCTTGAACAATGAAATGGACGATTTTTCTGTCCCCGCTAACGTTTCTGCTAATAAACTCCCACCAGCACCAGCCAATTTCATCAGGCCAGGGAAAAGGCCATTATCATCCATGTCTCCTACTATTGTCCTGAAGGTACTTTTCCGTTCTAATTTCGATCCTTTACGAACAATCTCAAATTCCAAATCATTACTAGATGTAGAAGTCTCTTATGATTGAAGGTTTCTGTGAAATTACTTCACCACAGGATGGAAAACTGAAAGGTGTGGTTGGTGCAAGTGGAGGAGGCTTCATCATTGCTGGAACAGCAGAGGTTCTGTTGAATCATTTTGCAAAAGGAATGGATCCTCTCTCGTCTGTGATGGCTCCCAGAGTTTATCATCCGGTTCGTTCGTTTTATCAAGCTTTCCTTCTCTGATCTGTGTCGTTATATTCTCCTGTTAGTTCATTTTATCCAGACATTCCTACATAACAGAACGATGGAATGAAACTAAAACAATTTTGTTGAAACAAACAGCTGATACCAAACGTGGTGAACTATGAGAACTGGACAACTGTGTTAGGAGACCATTTTGAAGTTCCTGCTAAAACAAGGGCAGTCCTTGCCAAGAAGGGCCATGTCTTAGAAGGGCTTGCTGGAGGGACAATTTGCCAGTTCATTGTTCAAGATTATAGCTCATTGGGAAAAGGTGTTGGCGTGGGAAAGCTTGTGGCGGTGAGTGATCCCAGAAAGGGTGGGGTTCCTTCTGGCTTTTGAGATTCTGAATTGTTGGATGTCATTTTTTTTTCTTTTTTCCTATTACAACTTTCATTATTGTAATTACCGTTCTGAACGGTGATTTTATGGGTGTTAGTTTAATAATTTCTTCATTCTTCTCGAGAGGAAGTTGAAACTCTTTAATTTATTATAGAACTGGTAAAATCATTTTTATGCAGCTGGTTTTGGAATTCTTTAATTCAGGTTTACAGCTCTAATAGATTTAAATGATTATTGAATTAGTCACCGACATGAACCAGCTCAATTATCTACGCATTACTTATTCCTTTAATGTTGAAGGGTCGAATCTCTCTAATCTTACTACTAAAAAAAGGAATATTAGCCAAAAGTAGAGAAAGTAATATTAGCCTAGAGAGGTAAAGATTTACCTAGAACCTTTTTCAAAAAAAAAGAAAGAAAAGTTTTCATAGAAAAATTATTTTGATGATCAAGAGATCTTTTGAGTCAATACAATTTTAGTTTGGCACGTGTATTTCTCCAGAAGAAGCAAGGAAGGCACTAGAGATGACATATCACAATAAGAGGACACTGATATTTTTTCTTTTTTATTAATTGACTATCTAACATAGTTAAACCGAGCGTAGCTCAACTAGTTAAAATACTTATCTCTAAATAAAAGTCGTGAATTCAAATCTACATCGTTGCATATTGTACTAAAAAAATGGCTATCTAACATCATGGAATCGATAGATTTATTTTTTAGTACAATAATAAATCGATTATTTTATTGAAGTTTAATGGGTGAGTTCAGGGAACAGTTTTGACCTCTTTTTTGTTAATGTTTTTTGTTAGTACAATTAATGTTCTAAATTGCTTAATACAATTCAAGAAATGATTATTTGTTCGCTTTACAAGAAGATAAAAACAATTGATTAACCAAAATTCAGTATAAGAGAAAAAATCACAAGCCATACTACGAATTGGGGTGGCTGTCCCCGTCCGTACCAGGCTGCCTGTTCCTTTTCTCCCATAACAACACCTCGTTAGCTTGAAATGCAAAGTACCGACGCCTCGATCTCCCGCCAATTTGGCATTGTCGAAAATGTGAAACTTGCAATTAATATTCAGAAATCTATGTCGAAGTTAGAGGTGGGATTTCTTTTTTTGTCTCTGGATTAATCTCCAATTATTGAAGTTGCTAATTTAACCACTTCTTCCGACTTCTTTTCACATATCCTACAATCAAGCGTCAGAATCACAGACCCATTTGACGGAAGATCGGCTCATTCTCAAATAATCAAAAAAAGGCCTCGATCTTGGGGTGTACTTGATGAATAATCTTATGACATTCTATGCCGAAACTGGGTCACTCAGCGATGCCCACCACGTGTTCGATGAAATGCCCCTTACATTTTCATGGAACACTTTGATTTCTGCGTATGCCAAACAGGGCAATTTTTATTTATCGCGTCGCCTTCTGTATGAAATGCCTGATTGCGATCCTGTTTCTTGGACTGTGATCGTCGTGGGCTACAATCAGTTGGGTCAATTTGATGATGCGATTTGGCTGTTTGCAAAGATGATACCTGAGAGAGTATCACCTACCCAATTCACGGTCAGTAATGTTCTTTCTTCCTGCGCGGCGAATTAAGCTTTAGACGTTGTTAGGAAGATTCATTCATTTGTTGTCAAACTCGGACTTGGTAGCTATGCTTCTGTTGCGACTTGCCTGCTGAATATGTACACAAAATGTGGAGATCCGGTCATAGCAAAAGTTGTTTCCGATAGGACGACGCTGAAGAACCTTTCAACTTGGATTGCTTTGATTTCATTGTACGTGTAATCTGGACAGATTGACCATGCTGCTGAACTGTTTGAGAAAATGCCTGAACACGATATGGTTTTTTGGAGTTCGATGATTGCAAGGTATAATCAGCAAGGGTATGATTTTGAAGCACTTGATATCTTTTCCAAGATGTTGAATGAACCTTCTTTAAAGCCAGATAAGTTTACCTTGGCAAGTGTTTTATCAGCTTGTGCCAATCTTGAGAAGTTGAATGTTGAATCTTGGGAAACAGATACATGGCTATATTATAAGAACAGAAACTGAAACTTCCGGGGCAGTTGGCAATGCTTTGGTATCAATGTATGCAAAATCAGGTGGGGTTGAAATAGCTAAACTGATTATTGAGCATAAAAGGACTTCAAATCTAAACGTTATAGCTTTTACTCCCTAGTGGATGGATACGCCAAGCTTGGAGAACCAGCTAGAGAGATATTTGGCAAATTGAGAGATCGTGATGTAGTAGCTTGGACGGTCATGATTGTTGGTTATGTGCAAAATGGGTTGTCGAATGACACACTGGAGTTGTTTCGATTGATGGTTAACGAAGGGCTGGAGCCGAATAGTTATGCCCTGGCAGGCTGGCAGCCATGCTGAGTGTCAGTTCAAGTTTGGCTGCTTTGGAGCATGGAAAACAAATTCATGCCGGTGCCATAAAAGCTGGAGAATCTTCAACAGTTTCTGTTACCAATGCCTTGATAGTTGATACCCATGTATGCTAAAGCAGGAAGCATTAATATAGCTCAAAGAGTGTTTGATCTCATAAGCTGGAAGAAGGAAACTGTGTCCTGGACATCAATGATCATGGCTCTAGCGTAGCATGGCCTTGGAGAAGAAGCCATCAGCCTGTTCGAGTGGATGCTCTCAGTTGGTATGAAACCTGACCATATCACTTATGTAGGAGTTTTATCTGCTTGCACACAGGTGGGATTAGTAGAACAAGGCCGAAAATTACTATAATATGATGACTGAAGTCCATAAAATTGAACCCACTCTAAGCCATTGTGCATGCATGATCGACCTTTATGGATAGGTAGGATTGCTTCAAGAAGCATACCAGTTCATTGAAAGCATGCCTGTAGAACCAGATAATATAGCTTGGGGATCACTGTTAGCATCTTGTAGAGTTCATTAAAACATAGACCTGGAGAAAGTTGCAGCGGAAAGACTGCTTCTTATCGATCCTGGAAATAGCGGTGCCTAGTCGGCCCTTGCTAATGTGTATTTGGCTTGTGGGAAATGGGAAAATGCTGCCAAAACTAGAAAGCTAATGAAGGATAGACGAGTAAAGAAAAATGAAGGATTTAGTTGGATTCACATTCAGAATAAAGTTCACGCATTTGGAGTCGAAGATGTAGTTCGTCCATGGAAAAATGAAATCTACAAGATAATGGATGAAATATGGAAGGAGATAAAAAGGATGGGTTTTATCCCAGACACCGAGTCAGTACTGCATGACCTTGAAGAAGAGGTAAAGGAGCAGACGCGTAAGCATCACAGTGAGAAACTTTGGGCTTGTAAGTACTCCAGAGAACACTGTTAAATCATTGTTAGAGATGCTACTCGGTTTCACCATTTTAAGGATGGTTCATGTTCTTGTCGAGATTATTGGTAAACATAAGCTTGAAATTTCGTCTACAAAAGAATGATGCTCTTGATATAAAAACACACCAAGCAGTGGGAAAATCAGGTATGTTCTTCCTCTGTTGTCCTTGTCAAAATTTTATTTAGATCCGCCATATAAATTAGTATATTCTTCCTTCACTGTTTTTTTTGCTCCCTTTTCTTTTGGAGGGTTATTTGAACTTTCAGCACAGAACAGATTTCATCCTATATGCAACTAAAGAACATCCGTTAGCTAGAAACCAGTAGGGTGTTCATTCTAAAAGATGCCCCAAAACATATAAAAATTTCCAAATTCTTTTTGGTTTACTGAACTTATATTCATTTTTTATCTTTATGTTTTGAACTTTTTTTCCTGTGTGGTCTCTGAACTATTAACTGCCATACATTTTTGTTTAAATTTTAAATCATAGCCCACCGACATTTATTATACTTTAACTGTTAGCTGCCACTTTAAATGACAACCTAGATGTGATATGGATGATGAATAGTGTTGTACCACGTTTTTATTAATTTAAAATAATTTTTTTTTTTTACAATAAAGACTAATTAATTATTTTTCCTCATTTAAAATTTGAGATTTAAAAGTTTAAATTTCAAACGCCCCACCTTATCTAAAACCTTTTTTTTTTTTGGCTAATAATTTCATTTTCTATTTTCTTTATATTATTAACTTCAAAGGTGACTACTTGTTTCAAAGGTGATTGGAATATAAATTCTAAGTTATTTATGTCACCGTTGAAAGAGGAAAATATCTGTCTCAGTTTAATTAGTTGACGAAAGAAAGTAGAGGTTGGAAATCATATTTGTTTTAAACTACAAATACTTGGGAAAATAATTTCTGAGCTTCCACCAAGTGGGCCAAGAATGGGCCTGAGTTTGGTGATGCCCATAATACTGTCTTCCTGCTAATCTAAGCTGATCGGAATTTTCTTAAATTCTTTTTAATTATTATTATTAATTTATCATCAACGACTACGAGTTCCTTGTGGACCAAGTCTGATGATAATTTTTTTTTTCTTGAATTTTTTTTGTCTGTTGATAGAGTTGTTCGGATTCTTAAAGTTGAAGGCATATTAAATTTAAAAATAATGATTAAAAAAAAACAAAAACAAAAAAAAAGGCGACGAAGACTTGATGAAAAAGACAGTTTTCGTTGGAGGAAGAGGGGTAATTAATGGAAAACCCCGTTGCTGAAAAAGTAAAAAGGAAAAAATAAAAGGACCAAAGGGAAATTCATAGGAAAAGTTATCCGAACCCACACCTGTCCATCGAGGCTGGCTGGGCAGCTTAAAACGCGGTCTTTTTTACAAGATTACGACGCTGCCCGATCTGCCCGATACCGGACTGGAAAATTACGGGCAGTCGGTCTCCAGTAATCGCTCTCGCTTCTCTCACTTCTCTCTCACCTCACCTCACCCTACCCCTTCTCCCCCCACCCTCTCTGAGAGCCGCCGATAATTCTATATCTTGGTTTCTCTGTGTCTTTTCGATCTCGATCGGACGGTCCAGAATGAACGTAGCTTCTGCTGCTTGTTGCTTGTGGTTTTAGATCCCGAAACGTCCAGATCTACCATCTCCGTGCTCTGATCTGTCTTCTCGGTACAGTTTACTCTCAATTCTCTGTTGTTTCATTCCTATGCTAGTTTCTGCTCTTTTCTGTTTGATTTCCTCTATTTGAGCTACATCTTTTCTTGTTTTCTGCTTTCTGCTGAGCTTACTTGCTTGTTCTTCAATCCGCTAGTGTTCGGAGGTCTTTAGCTTCAGTTTCGGTACGTTTTTGGATGATTTAACTGAAATTTCTGTAGTTTGTGGTTATTTTGCTACGAATATGGACTCAAATTTCTCGTATGCCTGTGGTTTTTGTTACTTTTCTGCTGGATTAACCGTTGACTTTATGTACTCTGAATTTTTTGCTTCACTGAAAGTCGACGCCTATTTTCTTTCGAAAGGATGCGTCAGGAAACTTCCTCTGCTGTTTCCTGTTTCTTTTTTCTTTTCTTAAAAGAAAAATATATGTGAATATTTCCTAGAATGAGGCTTTTTAATTTTTAGTCCGCGGTCAAACCCCCGGATAGGGGGTAGAAACTACCAAATCAACAAGGTAGGGGCTGAGACTGAGAGAATTTCCGGTGGAGTTGTGTTTCGTTATAATTTTTACTTTTAACGGCTGTTGAAATTTTGGGGACAGATCTGACGGCGACCAGCTCTCATCAGGTTTTTTTTTTCTTTTGTTTTTCCTTTTGATGCTTGCGCAGGGAACAGTTCGCCGCGCATATGGAGGTAACAAATGCTTCAGCAGGTGTCACGCTCGGCGATGGCTCACTCGCTCGCGCCAGTAAAGGTTTAGCAGCTTTACTGGCTTCGGCTCTGGTCAACAGCCAACTCCTGGCTCAGGCAAGTCACTCTCTAACTGTCTACTTAATTTTATCACCCTCACATCTAAGCTCAAAATTCATCCTGCCCAGTTAAATAATTATTTTCCTCTCTGAACGAATTTCTGGTCCGCGCGATATGTTAGCCTATGGAGGCTGTGGTTAAAAAGGGGAAAATGATTTTTCATATCAAACTTTACTGGAGAGTTTGTTTTGTTTAAAAACTCGCCGTCTTTGGCCAACTGTTTTGTTGTTGCCAGATTTCGGCTGGGCTATTGTATTAGTCGCTAAAGCAAGCTGTAGCCTGTAGGTGAGAAAATATCCGACAGATCCGCCACTGCCACTTCTCTTCCATTTGGCTAACGGATCCCATCGTACGGCTTTGATTAGATTATTTTGGTTGATTTAAAATTAAAAAAAATGATTTTTAATATTATAAAATAGAAAGTTGAGATCTTTTTAAAAAAAGTTGGGACTTGTTCTCGAAAACACTGTAATCACGCGTCGTGGGATTCGTTTGGATTTATCCTTTCTCCCTTCTTTCTTTCCTATTGGGCCATCATTCCAATGACCCCACTTGATGGGCTTAGGTGGGTTGAGATGCAAGATTTACGGAATTGCCCTCACACCGACAACTTGAATTACACGCCATGCCTCTTTCAAGTTTCAATTCATTTCGGTGGTTGAGGATAATATTGGTTGGCACGGGATTTCAGCTGAAATTTAAGAATCGGATAAATAAAGCTATGCTACAAAATTGATTCGTTTGATGGGAAATTTCAGTAAGCAATTATAAGATGGGGAGATGTCTTCTTTTTTGTTCGAATATTAAGCTTCGAACTGGGGCTCGAATTATTCTTCAGTATTTGACCTTTATAAGGATAGTTGAATTAGGAATCAATCTTACTACATGGTCTCGAGTGCCCAAAAGAGTCGTCTTTTTGCATCTTCCCATATCTTGTAGTTTGATAGTACCCGGCAAGTTGTGTTTGGGAAATATATTCCCTTCCCACCATCCTGCCTCTCTGCTCCTTTAAGAAGCTTGACTAGTGTTGTAATGGATGCGATTTCTGCCATCCAATTGATGTTGTTGATTAAGCTTAGTGGGTAATTTAGACGTCAAAGCAGGTTCTTATCTTCTTGGTCGGTGAACAGATCCCGACAAGGAAAGAAATGTGAAAAATAAAATAAACCAAAATTAAAAGTGGAGAGAAGGTAAAAGCAAGAAGAAAAGCAAGGGTTTCAATTTAGGACACTGACGGTTGATCAGCAACATATACGCACGCCACACTATTCATTCCTGTTGACATTTCATTTCCTTTTGTGGCATATTCTGTTAGCACTTAGCATAATTTCTTATCACTAATAGTGGCCAAGTTTTAAAATTGTAAAACAGAAGAACGTGATTAATTGCGAACATGACTGTCAATTTATAAAATTAGGTGAACTGGTCTCTAAAATGGTTGATAGAGATTTTTTTGTCTCTTTCGCTCAATGTAACAATTATTGTTGGTCTCTTATGCTGAATCTCATGGACAACTGTACTCTTGGAAATGTTGTTGCAGAATCCCCTTGGGATTTTCCTGATCCGACCTGGAATGAAAGGAGATAGTCCGACCCAATGCCCATCATCAACACCGCTTGACGCTGAAGGAGATGGTGATGATGACGATGAGGATGGGGATGGAGATGGTGACTTGAGTGGTGAAGAGGATTTATCATCTGAAGATGGAGATGACTATGCCAACAACCTCAACGACAATAATAAAAGTAATTCTAAGAAGAATCCGGAGGGTGGAGCGGAAGAGAATGGAGAGGAAGAAGAAGAGTTTGACGGGGAAGAGGATCAAGACGATGATGGCGATGATGATGATGATAACGATGATGGCGATGACGACGACGACGACGACGATGGTGACGACGACGATGATGGTGGAGAGGACGAGGACGAAGTAGCGGACGAGGACGAAGACGAGGAAGAGGAAGAGGAGGACGAAGACGAGGAAGCACTCCAGCCTCCCAAGAAGAGGAAGAAGTAAGATTAGGGAGATGAAACAGCGGCCTTAGACACTCTTCATCTGTAGCTTTGTTCCCCTGACTTTTGGGTTCTTATTTTAGCTTCTTGAGGATGTTTGTTAGGATGTGTTCCAAATTAGTAGTTATGTTTCCGCTGCCTGATTTTAGGGTACTCTTGAACTTTTTTGCTGCAGCAGTGATAAATGGCAATTAGTTTCAATGCTTTTATTAATTTGGCAACACAACACAACATCTGATTTCTCATGCCTCCGAATTTTTTTTCTTTAAAAATAACGAAAAGAAAAATTATTATAAGCTCTAATTAAACCACGACGGATTAATAAAACTACATCATTTAAAAGGGTAAGTCGGAGAATAATATTGCTGCCCATACCTTAAAAAATGGTCCCCAATATTAATATTATATCCTATTAATAACTACTAATTAGACTTTTTTACTACATAATTAATTAGACATGGCAATGAATAATAAGATAATATTTTTTGTATGGTCTATTTTAAATGATTTGATCTCTTAACAAATTTTATAATAAAATCACTAATGTGATTGCTTAGTAGTTCCATGCCCTTTTTACTCTAAAATGTTGCTCTCTGGGTTGCCCAAAGAGAGCATGCTTGACGCTAAATCTTGGGACCATAAGTGAGAGAAATTATTAGATGAAGTTGGAATAATGTGGCTGATAATTATATCTCTTTGAATGTAAGAGATAAAAATTCTAAAACAAATTTTAAATTTGTATTCAAAAATTATTATGAGGCATACATATTTCAAATTTTACATTTATTAGTGGTCAGGAGACAACCACATTACAGTAATCCATTCCAATAGATTTTTTTTTGTTTAACATTTATTTGACATCAGTAACTTTAATCTTAATCAAGATTCCCATATGATATAGATTTAATTTATTAATCCATCATTGCAAATGAACACTATTCATGATTATGTCAAAGGAGATGACCAAACATAAATTTTTTTCTTCCTAGTTCCTACTACTTATTTTATTATGTGGTAATTTTTTTGTTCTTTTATTAACCGCAGAGATAGCAGTCTTGGACTCTTGGGTTAGAACTACGACATGTCGTTTCCGGTCATTCAGTATACAGATGAACGATATGTCGTCGAGTCACCATAAATGGAACCCCGACGAAGGATGGTAATTGGAGGATATGTTAGTCAAAATGCAGAAGGCTGTGGCCATTTTGGGAAGAACGACATTCAACCACTTTCTGGTCTCCACTTCGAGAGGCTCTTGCTTTGTTCCTCCTCCACAATAATTCTCCTCTCGCAACTTCTGGGAACCGGCACGAAGGCGGAGACGACAAATACATGGAGATGGACCATCTCTTCTTCATGTTGTCGTAGTTCTCCACTTCTTCCGCCCATTTTCTGTGTTTTTTTGATCCCTAATGGCGGGCCAATCGTCAGATGCTTCCCCTCTTATTCCACCGCCACCGATCGGCGACCCTGGGGAGATCGACCTCGAAGCCGGCCAAGGGGAGCAAATTCAGTGTAGAATTTGCCTTGAGACCGATGGTAATTTGCTGTTCATTTGTTTTTTATTTTTGCTACGGTTGGTGTCTTCAACATTTGGCTTCCGGAAATTCATGGATAAACCTAATATATGTTCTGCTTTCTTCCTACTGACATAATTAGAACAATCACCTAGTCAATGCATTGTTTCAGGCCCTGTTATTTGGAGTCTAGAATAATGACAATATTACAATTTTACTGTGTGTTTTCTTATGATCGAAGTTTTCATTCAATACTGCGAAACTTGAAGTCAAATTAGGTTGTTCGATGTTAAAAGCTTGTTAAATTGGCCACATGTAGGGCTTAACGAGGCATGTTAACTACTGCAGTCCTCGACCCTCCCCCCACCTGGCTTTCGTGCTTTATAATTCTTTGGTGTTGATTTGTCGTTTAAAGTAAGTATTGCAAAACGGTATGAGAGGGTGCTATCAACTATTGACCATTCTGTAGGTGTTTGATCTGTGAAGTATTTTTAATTCACCAATGCGTGTGTTTCATTCACTGTTCAGGTAGGGATTTTATTGCTCCTTGCAAATGCAAAGGAACATCGAAGTATGTTCATCGAGAATGTTTGGATCATTGGCGAGCTGTGAAGGTATGATTGCTATTTTTGTTTTGTACTTCTATAAGTTTAACTTAGACATAATAGTGCTCTAATGTCATTGCCAATATTCTTAACTGTCTACGCTGTCTAGATGTGGTAGTAGTGAACTATTATATTCCTGGTTTTAGCAGTCATCAGTACCCGTCTTTTATTGATTAGAGTCATAAAACCCAAGATGATTGAAATTTCTCCTCACTCTATTGTCCCTTTGTTAGCTCTTAATGTTGCTCACGAAGCCAAAGGTTGGTTGACATTTTTCTTATGCCTTCCATTTTGAAATATTGTTAACTGTTGACAAATGATCCTTCTCCTTTGTTCCCCATCTTTAATTTGAGTATTGGTGGTTTTCCTGTAATCTTAATTGCTCTGGATTAACTTTCGAACAGAAATGTTTGTGATACATCCCTCCCAAAGTTTGCATTTGGTCGCCTTAACAACTAAAATCCAGCCTTGTGAAGTGACTCTTAATCTGCCTTTCATCTCTTAGAAGGTTAACTAGTATTTTTGTATTATTACTTCTGCTCTCCTTACAGAAGCATTCTTGAAATTTCTATCTTTAATCTTTATCAAACTGACTGTAATTCAGGGTCATCAACAAAATATTTGAATATACGTCATATTAGCATAGTATTTCCTATTTACAATCTTGCATTTAATCTTTCATTTTTTACCATCTTAGATTGGTCAATTTCTCATTATAAAAAAAATGAAAAACAAGAAAAAAATTATGCCTTAGTCATCATCTAGTTACATGTTATCGTCTGTGATTAAAAGTGCAGGAAGGTTTTGCTTTTGCTCATTGTACCACCTGCAAGACTCCTTACCATTTGAGAGTTTATACTGTCGCTGATAGGAAATGGCGAACCCTGAAATTTCGATTTTTCGTGACTAGAGACGTTATATTTATATTTTTGGCGGTTCAGCTTGTAAGTTTTATGTTTTCTGCCTCAATTTGTTACTAACTCAATTTATGATATAGTCGCGTATTATATTTATGTAATATTTCCTTCTCTTTATATGTTATGTGCAGGTAATTTCTTCTCTGGGATATTTGATGTACTTTATAGATGGTTGTCAACATTACTGGCTTCGTCTTACTTGGGGTTTCGATAACAAGTTTAGTTTTTATTACATATGTGGTAAAATCTCAGTAAGCTTCACATGCACAATTTATTTTGGGCCTTTTTTTTCCTTTTCCCTCTTGGATTGATGTTCATAGGCCTGTTTGCCCCATAGCTTCAGGCAGTTTGTCTCCTCAATGACCTTGTTTCCTGGTCTGGTCAGGGTGCCTCTGAAAAGTGTGTTTTGGCCTTTTATTCTAATATTTTAGAAGTACCTTTGCTTTAGTTAGAAGTGCTTTTTTAATGTTTATTTAAGAAGTATTTTAAGAATGGATCAATTACTAAAAGGGATACATATACAATTGTAAAATATATGATATGATGATATAAGTGAAAGGATGTATAGAAAAGTCATTGGGAGGTTATCTCCTACATTCATACTAGAGAAGTTAACAAGAGAAAGTGAGGTTTCATAGAGACTATGTAGAGAGATATGAGTAAAAATGTGTGGAGTTGATAGCGAGATAAAGTGGGTAGAGAGAAGTGGGCATAGGCTAGGCATAGAAACTAATGAAAGAAAGTACTATAGGTGTAAAGTACAAATGAAAAAAATGTGCTCGTTAGATATTCACAATTCTTTTCTAAAGATCTGATTCACATTGTTGCTGAATCATGTAAGAAAGAGGTATTAAATGGATCGTGGCTCTTTGTAGTAATCATAATCAAAATTTATGTCTTATCTAAAAAAATAATCAAAATTTATGATATATTTTCTTGAAAAATGGTCATCAAGGTACATCTTATTTCTTGACATTAGGATCTGCGTACTCTAACAGAGTTGAACAACTTTTACCATTTCCAGTTATAGTTTGAATTTTGTTTTTATTGTCTGGAAATTAGCTTCTGCTATTTACTGTGCAGGGGCTTTGTTATTTTTTGCATTACTCGGCTTATCTGGATGCTTCATCACTTGTTATGATCGGAGAGTCAGGAATGATCTGGCTCAACCATGTCGGGAATTGTGCATATGTTGTTGCCATCCTGGGTATAACTCAGTTTTGCTTTTCTTTTGGCATTATGTTGAAAATTCTTAGGAACACTTTCTGGGGAGTGTAGGCACGTTCTTTACGACAGAGCTGCTTACACGCAGTGATCTTTCTCTTGCTCAACTGAGTTCTCTCTGGTTTGCTTCCCTCCCCGTAAATGAAAGGATATTTCCTGGATGGAAAGGCACAGAATTTAGAATTTCCTACATGCATCCAAGCTTGAAATTCGTACAAGCCATGCTAGATTAATGACAAAATCTTTGTCCAAGCTGTTTATATTATTTCTCCACCAAACTTTAGCTGTCGTGAAATAGTTCGCTAGCATAATTATTTTTAATTCAGCCATGGGTTATTTATGTGTTTCTGTTATTTGTTCAGACTATGTGCAGACTGTCATTTACCTGGTACTCTCTGTATGTGGACTGACTGTACCACTTGCTTCGAAAGTTGTGGGAGTATAGCAACTGAATGTGGATGCCTAGGAGGTGCCGGTGAAGCAGGACTGCCATTATTACTCATAATGGCCTTGATTGTTCTTGGTTTGTTTACAGTGATTGGGATATTCTACAGTGTCTTGGTGGCTACCATGGTTGGACAACGAATATGGCAACGACACTATCACATACTTGCTAAAAGAATGCTAACAAAGGTGAGTTAATTGGGTGTCTTTTAAGCTGTGCAAAATTTTCAGTGAGGCACTGAGCAAAGAGGATAAACACTTCGAATATGGCCTTTTTTTCTTACGTTCCAGTAACATTTGAAGTAAGAGAACCGATCAAATTTACTTGGTAAAAAATTAAGTCCCATCATGGATGCACGTAAGCTGGGCGACCACATCTATTCACGAGGTCTGTCTTATTGATCAGTGGATAGGAAAGATGTTGGGACATGACCTCTATCTTTGTTCCCCCACTCCCACTCCCTCCGTGGAAAGAAAGATAACAGGAATGGGATGGGCGACAAGGGTGGTTCAAATACTAAATTCTGATGGTGGGTTTGATTGATTATCATTGGGGCCCAGAAATTTTAAAATCTTTGACTTTTTTAAGATAATTTTTTTTAACCCAAGACATGCAATTCGCCCCCTTATTATAGGGCCATATGCTGTGTTTAGGACCACAAAAATTCACTTCTGATCGATTATTATCTTTATTGGACGCTTTGGGTTTTGTCTCAGGAATATGTTGTGGAAGATGTAGATGGCGAGATGACAGGAACTGACTGGGTACCTCCAGCACTGCCGGCAGAGCACGTTCAACAGCTGAAAACTCTTGGCCTTCTATGAATTGAAGTGGAAATGGGTCAGTTTTCCTTTCACTGCGCCGGAAGAGTAGCTAACCATATGCTTTTGCTGGTGCTGGTCAGTACTTAATTTACTTTGGACCAAGAAAGTCCTATACACATACTCAGACTTATGTCAGACCCACTGCACTGCATCTGTATGATAGAATGGCTAATGGCTAGTTTTTGTCTTATCCATTTGAGAAAATGGGAGGGAATTTCAATACTCGAAATGCTTACTGACTAAAACTAAAACTATGTATTATTAACGTTCTTATCGAGTAACAAAGCGTTTTGTGAACTGACTACTCTTTACTACGTTAAAATACTTCCTAAAAATAATTCTACTTTTTGTGGACTGAACTGACTAATATAATAATTTTTGAGTGGCAAGACAAAACAAAGGTAGGGAGAGAAGTGACATTTTTCAAAATAAATCAATAAACAGTCATTAAAAATGAGTAGAAAGCTTTTTGGAATAAAATATTTTATCAGTAATAAGCAATAATCTTGTGTAGACTAAAGTTTTGAAGGTTGATGTAGGAAAATATTTAGGTTTCAATTTCTTGGAAATGTCGATAAGATGGTGTATTGATGTAGATGGATATTTTTGTAGAAGCGAGAGAAGTTAAAAAATATGTAAATTAACGAATAAATATTTTTCTATTTCTAAATAAGTTAAAATATGTTAGAAAACATCTTTTGTCTCTATATGTGCTTTCAAATCGTTAACAATTTGGTTCATGAACTTTAATATGTAACAATTTAGTCTATATAGTTTAAAATTTGTAACGATTTAATATCGTGAAAAAATTTATTAAATTTCTTATACATTTAGATTAATAAACTAATGAGGCACCAAATATGTTTATAAATTATAAAGACTAAGTCATTATATAATAAAAGTTGATATTTAATTTTGAGATTATTGAGACTATATTGTTACAAATTATAGCTACTGTATTGTTACAAATTTTAAACTATAAGACTAAATTGTTACATACTAAAGTTTATCACTAAATTGTTACCAATTTAAAAGTATATAAACCAGTTATTTTAATAAAAGTACAATGACCAAATATATTTTTACCTTAAAAATAATTAATATTAATATTAATATTAGATTTTTTAGAAATAATATTATTTATATATTAGTGACATTTCAATGATATTTTTTATATTTTATGAATTTTTTTTAATAGGATGAAAATATCAATCTACCGCACATGTATAAAAAGAAAATGATTTGATCCCATATCTCGTCTGGAAAAGAGAAAAACTCCACTAATTTCAAAAGGCCGTTGGATGGTCACCGCGGTTGCATGAAGACAACTTGTAAAACGGTGCCACGTTTGGTGGACGTAAATGTGTAGGTAAAATAAGTATTGAAATAAAGTGAAGAGCAAATGGTGATTTGACACGTATGACTCACACACGATCGATTTGTTAGGCGTTGTCGGTGCTCTGGTTTTGGAATCAAAACCATTGGCGGGGTTTGGTTTGGCTGTTTTCATATTCATTATTCAGAGGGGGAAAAAAAACCACTTTTTATTTGCCATTAATTTCCACACCACAGAGATTAAAAATTACAATGGGACCCTTAGAGACTTGAACAAAGAACTGGATACTTTGCCTTTGGTTTCTAAATTAAAAGGGAATAACCGCATGCTTCTAGATGTAAAACGTTTAAAGTAGTGGGTATTGGTTGGTAATTAGGTAACTTCATTTTCTTACCTTTAATGAGATCAGACCATCATCCATTAATAAAGGCAAATTTCTACGTCCTAGGTTAAAAAATGTAAGTTTAGATTACCTCTTCATATCAATTACCACCCATAAGAATGACAAAAAATAATCAGTTACAGCAAATCAACTAAGGTACTCTTTTAACAAATGATTCATAAAAATAAATACTTAGCTTGAGAGATCGGTATGAAATTCTTAAAGTAACTTAGCGTTATTAGTAAATAAAGTAAAGTAAAGGTGCTACTTACCTACCTCTAACCTATCAAATGTAATCTGAAACCGAGGATATGAAAGTGGGGTTAATAGGGCAAAGCATTATATTTATGGGTTTAGATAATGAAATTTTGTGAAGTGGGTTTTATGAGCCCTAGAGCCTAGTAGCTTCCCCACCAAACCAAACCAAACCAAACCCACCAATACAATTAGATAATTGTCCTAGAATTTGCCACAAAAACTTTGAACCACATTCAAAGTAATAGGCCATAGTAGCGGGCATTTCAATTCCTTGCTTGGCTCCCAAGTGTCAAAAGCACAAAACTTTTCCCACCTTCCTCATCAAGAAACGAACTTTTTTAGTAATATCAACAAAGACCCTCCAATTAAACAAAAGGAAACACTTTCCCCAATTATGGGTCCACCCATAGAGAAGTAACATGACTCAGTCGTCACTCCCACCTATTTTGCACATACACCACCGACCTGTCAGCCTTATCCACAACGAATGAGTCATCCCCTCCCCTGCCGACCCATATATAAAATAACTAACAAAATTACCCTTCTCCTCCCAAAACACAACCAAAAGTTAAGCCATGGCTGATATCGCGATTCTGGTTGCAGAGGAATACGAGAGGAGGATGAAGAATCCAGGGCTGCAGGCCAAGCAAAAGCAAGAAATTGATGGTTTTGCTTCTGGGGTTTCCATTTCTGCAACTGCGACTACTGGTAGGATGAAGCAGATGCTGCAATTGGGGAAACCAAATGCAGATTTCAAGTGGGTTTCGGAGCCCAAGTCCCAAATTGGCCGGGCCGCATCCGCCGGCTTCTTCTCTGCCTGAGTTTCCCTACTTTATCATCTCTGTTCTCGCCGCCCGCCGCCCGCCGGCGACTATACTGTGAATCTTTCTGATCGATTTGTCTGTAAAGTTTTTGTACATTGAATTTAATCTTACACGTTGGTACTGCTTTTGAATTATGGAGAACAAATGATGGGTTACAGAGTTGAAAATGGAGAAAAAGATGACTCTGCTTCTGATTCTGGTATGGTGGATTCAACAGTGGCTAATGGCTTCCTTTTTTCTGATGGTGGAATTGATGATCGGAAATTACGCTTTAACTCTCCAATCATTTTGAATTAACTGTGTAAATCGAAATCAAACAGATCTGGAGTTTCCTACGACGACGTTTGTGTTTTTTCTGGGAAGAATTTTGTTTTTTTTTTTTAATTTTAGTTGATTTTAGTTAATTTTCTTTCCGTTTAGAATTTCTTCGCAATGATTATATTTTTTTTGCTTTCGAAGGTGGGTTTAAATTATAATTACATTTGAAAATTAAAAGGGCGAGTTTTTGAAAACTGGTCATTTTTCTTGCTTTAAAATTTTTAATTGATATTTTGAAAAATTGAACTTTTAGATAGGAAAATAAATCAACTTTTACCGTTAAACTTCCGAGGTATGTCAATTTTGAATTTATTCTAAAATTTTAATTTCAGAACCTTAAATTTAGATAATATAATTAAATTATAAATTTGATCTTTAGGATTTTAAATTTTTTTAATTAAAAAAAGTTCCAATTTATTTCCCTTATTTTCAATTCAAATGTGTATCAAAATACAGTAAAATAACACAAGTTTCCTTTTATGAGTACGATATGAAAATTTAAACTTCTTGGCCTCAAGAAAATGACAAGATAACGCTTAGCAGCATCACAATAGCACATTATCAAGTTGAATATTTTGAGAGATCCATCCAATCACTATTTACAACTAATTGAAACCGTGTGGTATTTTTTTGGAGATCGAATGAGTAACATAAATATCTTAAGATATTTGTAAACATGTATTTCTATATTTTCTTTTTATAAAATTACAATTATAGACTTTTTAAGAAAATGGTGATTCTAGAGTGAGTTAGGTAACTAAAAATTTATCAATTATAAATTAAGTTTAAAAATAATAATAAGTATATAATAATTTTTTTAAAAGTTCAACGACAATGAGATTTGGAACTCCAACTTTTTAGTTGATATATACTCTCGGCGAATTGAGTTATTACAAATAGGTAACAATGATAAGGATATGTTTATTTGTTATGATAAGGGTTGGTTTGCGTAAATGAATAAATAATGTAGATATTAATTGATTATACTAATATAAATCATTAGTTAACATATTGCTTATAAATATTCCATCCATATCGTGGACCGTCCAGAATGTGCTAAGATTTTTAAGCTCCAAACCAATGTAACAAATAATAGCTGCCGGCAGCTTAGAATTGATAGCAATGTCGTAAAAAGGAAAAGATTCCTTTTTTTTTTCTGTTGACTTTTTTGTTCCATCTAATAACACCGTTCGATCAACTCATCAAATCGTATCCATCTTCCACGACAAATCTCCACAAAATTTCCTCACAAAAAAGGAGAAGAATTCAAAAGCACTGCTAACATAATTCCAATCCAGCAGCCCTCGTTTTGGTCAGTTTTCTGATGGGGTTCCGTTCTGTTGAATTTTACCTAACCCACAACCAAACAGAAGGAGCCAATATCTTTTACTTTGATTCTCCATCCCACGATTATAATGTTGTATCCTTTTAAAAACATATAATATACTGACTCTCACCTAATAACCATTGGCATATTCAAAATCTATATACCTTAATAACTACGAGTGTTCTCGAAATTGTGGTGTTCTACTCCTTCCTTATAAATTAGCCTTCATCTCCCATATGCGTTCCAGCTGCTCCAACTTATTACTGTAGCTCCATACACATTTGGGATTGGTATATTTTTCAGAGTATTATCGGGAACAGTGAAAAGGAAGGTTTTTTTTTGCTTATTCACACCGATGACAGAGAATTCAAAGTTGTTGTTCCTCTGAAAGTGTATAGAACTACTTGAACATTGCAAATTGTTCGGCAAACTTGGGTAGTTTGACCACACCTTTTAAGGGTTGTTCAAAAGTTGAGATAAGACTGAAGAAAATAGGATGGTTTGGGTATCACTATTGGGGCTTAAATACAGAAGGATGTGCCCATCAGTCTGTTACAGCCTGCAGACAGAGCATTTAGTCCTCTTCCTACCATCTCCACCTAAACCCATGGGAAATATCAAAGGAATATCTAATCAAACTTGGGTTTGCGTCCTCTTTCACTCTATTGTCTCAATTATTGCCGCCACATACCATTTTAGTTACCTCGTGAGAGCATCATAAATTAGCCCACCAACTCGCATCTACCCTAGTAATAAGTTGTATAACTCCTGGCCCTACGGAGACTAGAGGCTTATCACGATTCACACCACTAATGGATCGTCTAATTCTAGCCAACATCTTCCTGACAAAGAAAAGTTGTTGTAATTTGGATGGTTATTTTATTTTTGGAATAGATTTGGGTTTGTTGGGATCAAAGGTCCCCGTCAAGATGTAAATTGGGTGTCCCAAGAATTAATGATTTGTTGACGATGAACAAGGAAGAGTAGAGAGCAATCATGCAAACAAAGCATCAAACAGTTGGCTTGCGTAATTGCAAGTAAATAGAAGCATACACGATTTTCTCGATCTAGCTACAGATCAATCGAACCAGAAACGAGCTGTTCCTAGGGCTATTGCTCGTCAGTGAAGGGAGAAACAATATTCCTAGTTAATCTACAGAAAATCGACATTTATGTTACTTGATTCTATTCTGTGGTGGACAAAATCATCAAATTGTGTGTCCTTATCCCTAGAAAAATCTATATATACTATTACCATGTAATGCCGATAACAAAAAGATGAGCTCCTCGTCGCTGCCATCGTACTCCACGCGGTCCCGCAGCCTGTGGTAGCCGGCGACCACATCGTCCGGCAGAACCTTACTCCGGCAAAGCGGACAGGTAGCGAAACAGAGTTTCAACCAATTGTCGAGGCAGTCCTTGTGAAAAGTGTGATTGCATTGTAATTTCCGTACCTTATCGCCTTCCTCAAATTCAGAGAGGCAAACGGCGCACTGATCGGCGGGACTCGAGGTTAGCTTATTGGAGAATCGAATCGTCGGATTCCTCTCCTCGATCAATTTAAAATACTGCGTCGTCGTGATTACGCGCTTGTCGGCGCCCGGCCTCAATCCGAAGATCGTGCGTATAAGAATGACGAATTCGAGAAGTAAAAGCGTGAAGAAGACGGCGGTCATTGTGTGGAGGTGGGAGAAGAACTCGGAGAGAGCTCCCATGGCTGCTGCCTGCTGGATACTGGATAGAGATGGACGGGCAGATTCCAATAATTCAATTCTTTAATTTTATACTCTATTGAAAATTTTTAGCCTACACCTACACTATAATATCCAGCCTCTGTTCTTTTTTCCTTTTTCTTTTCTTTTTTTTCTCTTTTTCTTTTCGACTGAAAAGAAATTCTGACTCGTGGATTTATATAATTTCTGTGCAACCAACCTCAGTTCGGTACACGTGGATTCCCTCAAACCGTGTTTACGGATAAACTACACATTGTTAAATTATAAATTATGATTTTCTTCCCCTAATACTCCTTTTAATATTTTATTAATCTACCTATCTTCATTCCATGCACATATATTATTATATGTATATTAATTCAACTCTTAAGTGTTTAATTTTAAAATCAATGTTTTAGTCTATGAAAACCTAATTCTGTATATATATTTTTAGTTAGTATTTAATTATATAATTAATATTAAAAATTAAGTCTGTATATCTATTGACAACATGAGTTTACGAGATTCTTCTAAATAAAACAAAAAAAAATTAGTATACATATGTTATTAGACCACCTAAAAATGGAAAATGTTTTGACAGTTTATTTATTTAAATTTTTTAGTGCAAATTAATTAATGATTTCCTTTCATGGTAAAGCACTCTTTTATGGTTTATTGTTACAAAGAAGTTAACATTTAAATTCATGACAGTATTTTTTTTTTCCAAAACTGTCATTTATATTTTATTTTATTTAACCATATAAAATAAAATTATATTTTTGTTCTTTAACCATTATGTAAAAATTAAAATTAAAAGTACCCATATACTTTACATAGGTTATGACATTTAATTACCCGATTGAACACTTCTCCAATTGGTCTTCAATTAGTTTTCAAGAGGTATTAATTCTGTATAGATCAAAAGTCTAATACTAGATTGATTAAACTAAATACGTGGATTAAAATATATATTTTTTCTATATTTTCTCTTGTACAGTCATCTTAGATATCACAATCAAATCGTTTACTTCAATTGAAACTTTCTTATATAAAAGATTACATTTTTATTCAAAATTACCTCGTATTACATATTTTTGCAAGTGTCTGCCACCTTCTCAAATGTATTTTTTTTTTAAAAATCATTCTTGAGTAATTTTAATTTAACTAAAAATCTGTTGACAGATTAAAATTTATTTATCAATGAACTAATAGAGAAACATGGTTTTGTAAAAATACTAAATGAATTAATCATTTAAAACAAATTAATAACACATTATTTCTTATAATAGAAAAAGGCCAAACACAATTTTGATTAGGCTTGAGTTCTTTTTTCTCTTCTCTTTTAATATCATTTTGGTACGTGTATGTTGTTATGTATTTATTTATTATTTTATTATTATTTTTTTTTTTTGAATGAGCCAACTTTATTTAGCTTAAAAAAGTCAGGTGGGCTATATTGAAAAATATATCTCTCCCGACAATTATTTCTATCTAGAAAATATTGAAACTATTAACCAAAACAAGAAAATTGGCGAGCACAAATTTAGCCAAACCATCGGTTGCCTACAAGTATAGAACCATTAATGTAAATAGTTAAAAATTAATTTATTGGTTAAAAAAGTTGTTGGGTTTGTAAAATTCCCATGTCTCTCCCCCAGTATTTTTCTAGCCTGGTTCGATTGGCCAAGTCAAAAACATCTTCCAGTTGGGTTTTTCTTTTTCTTAAAACTAAAATAAATTTATATTAAAGTTTTGACAATAGAAATTAAAATGATCTATTTTAAAAGTTTATGATCAATGAACCTTTTAAAAATATATAGATTAAAATAAATCAAAATTGAAAGTGCAGTAATATTTTAGCCCATACAAAACACATCCATTTAAAATTGGCTATAATTTTTATTTTATTTTAAAATTCCCTTCTAAAAATTTTGTTTTTCAATGAAAAAGCTTATTTGGAAAGTGGAAGCAGCATTCAGTAATTTCTAATATTTTTGTGATTAAATTTCACATTTTGTAATAAACATTCTACAAAAACATTGTCTCTATGTCGTCAAATTTTAGTAAACTAAGCTAAAATTAAATAAAAACAAATTTTGTAACCTATGACATTAAGAAAATTTTAAAACAAGTATACATGTACCACACAAACATATCTATATGATAACCTTATTATTATTATTATTATAAATTAACCAGTTTTTTAGAATAGTTAAATTTATGACCTAGCGATGTATAAACTGGTTACCAATACAAACATGTGTTTGTGATTGTATTATGCTATGTGAGTTGAAACTTTAATGACATTAATTTGAAAATTACTCATAACCAATTTTAATTAAAGATTTGGACAGAGAAACAGAGGGTTTGAACTGGATAATGAAAGACATATGGTTGATCAATACCTAACCCAATGTTAAAGTTTCAATTTTTTATTTTATCGTTTTGACATGAACTATATTCAAAGTACCACAAAAAAAAAACAATGTTATTATTATTAAATGCAAACGACAAAGTACCGTTTGCTGGGGTTGGGTTTGGTGTCGGATAAACGACCCTAATTTTGTTCTCCGTTTTAAAATAATTAAAATATTAAATAATTATTATGAGTATTGTCTATTGTGGGCGACGAAGTTGACCGAGACTCGATCCGTCGGAATCGTATGGGGTCCACGACGACACTGTCGTTCCATCTTTCTGTCCCGCAATCCTAAATTTACTGAAATTACCATTACCGTAATTCCAAAGCCTCCAGGGGGGACGAAAATGTCTTAATAATAACTTCCAATAATTATCATATTAGAGAAACTACTTGTTTTATGAAAATTTAGTCCAGTAAACCGAATTGACCTTTCTTCCAAAAATAAAAAGATATTTCAGCCAGCCTCCTCATCCGAAAATGACTTTCTTGTCCCGTAATACAAATAAACTTAAAGTTGCATTCCAAATTATTTTAAATTTTATAAACGTTTTTTTGTTTGAATTTTCTAGGAAATATCTTGAGAATGGTTACAACAAAAAATGTCTCTATCAGTATCAGTCTCCTTTGGCCCCTCATTTTAAGTATATTGGTGCGAAGATAATGGTAAATCTAAAATTTTACCATGACAAAAAAATGTTAATTTGTAATTTGAACTTACCAATGCTTAAACCTAATAACTATTTTAATCTTTGTTTTAAATTGTGAAAAGTATAGCAAATTTAACTCTTCGATACATTTTCATTTCTGAATTTTTTGAAAAAAATATTATGGTTAGAAAACATGTATTTTTAGTATGAAATAATCGACGAAATTTAGACAAAAACAACATTATAGTTTGTTTTTTCTTTACTTAACTTCGTAAGTTTGGGTAGATTTTAAGTTGAGATATTTTATTTTTATTAAATTAGTGAGTTTTTGTGGATTTTTGTTCTACAGACACAACAAAGGCACAACTTTATAGAGAGGAAGAAATCAATGACCTAATATTATTTTGTCGATCAGAGTATATAGTTTACGTAATTTATTAAAATTTAAAAGGGGACGTGCCCTCTAGTCCATATAGATCCGTCTGTGGAAATTCTTTTTTTCCTATATAAACTTGAGATTCTCATCTTTTATTTTGTTGTAAAATTTTTCATTGTTTTTAAATAAAACTAATAAAACCTAAAAGAATAACATCCACCTTACATGCTTCATTTATAACTTTATAAAGAAACAACCTCTTTATTTATTTATTTTTTAATAAGAAGAAACGACCTTGGCCTCTTCAATCTAAAATGAGGTAAAAATTGTGTTTTTTTTTTTCATTTTAAAATCTAAATGATGGAGATTTTCTCTAAATATCTATGACGCAATTAAAATTTAAACCTTTCAGTTTTTATAAAATATTATTAATTAATATGGTTAAATATAGCCAATAATCTTATCCAATATGAGGTACATCCAAGTGTGTGTTAGGTTGCAATAAGGTTTTCAAAATTTGATAAATAATTATTAATATGAAATTCCATTGGTTAGGGGTGAAACTGAAAATATACACGTGTCCTTTTAGACAAGAGTTCAAGCCTCGTATGCGACAAAGACAAGAGGAACTAGTCAAACATGTTTAAAGCAGAACCCAACTCAATTTTAACCTAAGAGGAAGATCGTCAGTAGAATATCCACTGCCAGTTGACAGGATGTCACTTCACATTGTATAAGATCTATTGAATGACAGGTACAGATGTCATAATCGCAAAGCGACGCTTTCCTAATGCTCTCCTTATAAAATGTGGAGTTATCCCACAATTACAAAGGTATGCGTTCTTTACGCATTTTACTAAGCTTAGCTCATACCCAGCTCGAATCGAATACTAACTTAAACTTTAATGTTAAAGATTAATCTATCAAGGACTAATTCAGGTGAACATACCATGTGTTATTAATTCCATTTTATATCAAAATTCAATGAAAAGGAATGAGAAATAGCAAAAAAGTGAAACTTTAGTTAAAGATTTGACTTTTTAACAAATTTAGTTAAACTTTTCTGTCTATAATTGTTAGGCGGATCTAATTCTCTGTTTGTTGATTTAGGTACCCGTGAATGTACTAAAGGCATTGTTGGAATTTGAAAATGACAATTAACTTTGTCAAACAAATATTTTGTTCTCTCAATTATCCATTTAATGATAATTTATAACTAATTAGTATGATATCGCCGTTGAATAATTTATTATGTGCACGCAAGAGACGTGAGGGAAGTTATCATTATTATGCCCTTTTGTCCATAGTACTTTACCTTCTTTTTTTCTTTTTCATTTTTCACATGTGATATTTACCACCTATGTTATGGTGTTATAACATGCCTTCAAAGTTCAAACTAAACTAACTGGAGAGGGTGGTACTTGGTAGTTATTGCAAGATTAATTTGACAATTAATATCAAACTATGTATGATGTCAGATTTCATGGACCACCAACAATAACATTCTTAAATGTTGGCTATTTTATAACCATAAATTACTCATTACTACTTTTTGGTTCGTGCCGTAATTTTGAAGTATCTATTTTGGTGTTAGTGCTTTTAAAATTTACCCAGTTTCAAAATATTCATTTTAATCTTTGTACTTTAAAAAAGCAATTCTTTTACAAAATTTTAATTAATACAAATTATATACACGAGGAAATTCCTCGATACAAGAAATTTCACGAATGTATTGTGAGGTTTTAAAAGAAAT